CCCTGGCTGCCAAAGTGTCTTGCGGAACTGTTAAAGGGGCCAGTGTACCCCTTTCGAGGGGTTTATACGCAGACGAGACTGTTCTGCTGCTCCAGGGGTCCAGTTGGACTATCTTATTGGTGCTTGGAAGGTTTCCACTGCAATGTTGACTGCTGTTTGGTTAGTTCTGTAGAGGGACTGAATCACGAGTTGGGGTTCACACTTCAGCACATGAATGTTAAACAAGAGATGTTTGGCCAACAACGGGACCAAATGCCTCTCTGTTGGGCCATCTGTGACATCTGTGTTTTATACCACAATACACAGTCACTGCACTTTACAGTCCTTTATTGAAACTCTTTGTGACGTCCTCCTGAAGTGAAAGGCGTCCTATCAAATGCAAGGATTATTATTATTGAGATCAAATAAATGGAACAGTAAATTGGTCTCTTCATTGAAGCCATATCTGGAAAATGAACCATTCCCAATAGTTATGCCGTGTGTTGAAAGAAATGAGGACGAAATCGCACCTGAGGTGTCACCCATTGCATCATTCCCAGAGCTTTGAGAGTACGGGAAGAGAACCGAAATTGGACAATAAATCTGAGGGTATATCCCAACATTTGAGTGTTGCGAAGGAAGTGTGTGTGTGTGTGGATGCTTTATGTGCTGTGATAATCATCACATATTTTGCTCTCTGTAATTTTAATGAATGTTCGCTTGATTGGTCTGTGTGTTTAAACTTTTCTTTTGACTTTCACTTTAGATGTTTCAAGTGATCTCTCTCCATTTTCCCACCCAACCGCCTCACCCACACCTCTCTCTGATGATGTATCATTATGGGAAGCTGTTGTGTTCAGTTTGTGACAATGCGCATTTAACCTTTCGAGCACTGAAATCTGCACGAAAGTCCATTGTACATCCACATCCTTGTTTATTTTAAGGAAAAATGTTAATGATAGATTCAAAAAGCGGTTTGATTGTTTCAGATGTGAATATTTCTGACATAAGTTTACCGGAAAGGCCCTCCAGCTGTTCCATGAACAAAAACAACAAGAATGTAGAAAGTCTAAAATCTGGGGTTAACTCGCTGATTGGGGCCCTGGGAGACTGTTTGTGTTTTCACTGCTTAGTTAATTTAAGTACGTCTACTTCAGGCTTTTAGACGTCACTAAGCAAATGATCACTCATGAATTTAATCACTTGTTAAATATCACAACATGCCTCTCAAGGGTGTGTTTAGAAAACATTTCAGGAAATATGCATAATAATATAATAATGATCCTGACATTTGATACAGCCCCTTATCACGTCTTCGAGACGTCTCAAAGCGCTTCACGGAATATACTGTAAAGTGAATTGACTGTATTTTGTGGGCGGAACGTGGCAGCCAATCGCGTACAGCAATGTCCCACAAACAGTCGGGATTGAAGTCATGTTTTCCCGGGGAGTAATAGTAATGAGTGGGGTTTGACTTCAAAAACTGTTTGATGCTTGGGACATCCTCCCGGCGTGAAAGGCGCTGTACAAATGTAAGTTGTTGTTGTTGTAAGGGGGGTGTCGATTGTATGAGTATTCTGAAAAGATAAGACTCAAGGAAGCAATGGGTATTTCTCTATAGAACTCTCTCTCTCCGGTGATCCACGTGAAACCACATTCTCTCAAGCCATTTGGATTTCTCAATTGTTTTCTTCATGGATTTGAAAGGCAGATAAATAGAGATCATTAAAATGCACTGAATTGGACTCCTCGTTCTCTGTGGTTGCATCTTCAGGAGTTGCAGCGAAATACAACTCACCGCATATATTGTTCATACGGGGGAAGATTACAGAGGATTATTTATCGTTATAACACAGCTAAACAATTACTTGTCGCGGTCAGGGTGAAGACTGAACTCATTCAACAATGACAACTACTACTACTTGTCTTTATTTATATACCGCTCTTCAGGCTGGGTTAGCAACCCTGGCGTTTAGATTTCAACTTCAAGCGCAGGACAGTAATAGAATATATATGTTTGGACAATGGTGCAATTGATAGATTGGCCCAAATATACACGGTAGAAACTCAATCCCTTCCTGATAATAAATCCTGACAGCATCACCGTGTGTCGTTATGTAAACAAGTTAGAACATCCTCGTCACATCAGTGAATGCCTGGGGAGAGTGCAACCCCAATGATGGAAGACTAGCTGCACACTTGAAGGTTATATACTTGGTTGACTTTTAACTCCCCCCCCACGCCGCCACCCCCCCCCCCCACAACAAAAAGGAGATCCTTACCTTCCAGTTAATTAATAGTTAGTGCGACTGAAGGCAGCACCTTTCAGAGGAATGCACTGTGTTAACTGTGGACGAGATACAAACAAATTCTGCCATCTTACTTGAAAGATCAAAGTGCAGCAGATAACATATTCTGACGGTATGGGACTGTTGGGCCAGATTGCTAACGGAAGTGTAGGCAAAACAAAACGTTGAAGATACTGAATGAAAGGGCGCACGGAAATAAAATGGCACAAGCGGTATGTGACGGTGTTTGGTGATCGGGTCACAGTTTTAAAAAAAACTCAGTGAGCGGGACAAACATGGGTGAAACGGGGCACATTAATGATAATTTTGCGCCGGCACGATTCGGGCAAGAACTGCTTAAAACAGCCCAATCTGACGGGTTGGAATGAGTTTCTTTTGGACGAGTGCTTACGTTTAACGCTCTGCGTTACGCTGTTCCTCTCTCTTTTTTTCTTCCATCTCCTGACACTTGTTCTTGCAAGTCCTGAGCCTTCCGTTCATTTTCGATCTCTCTCTGACCATCTAAAGACTGCCAAAGCCTGTTGTTCATGACTTCCTTCTTGGCACAGAAGGTTAGCCTCTGAGCCAACATCCAGTGCAGTTGTATAATAATAATAATCCTTTCGTTTGATATAGCGCCTTATCACATCTTCTAGACGTCTCAAAGTGCTTCACAGAACATACTGCAAAGTGTAGTGACTGTGTATTTGATGCTCTATTCATTGCCAATCACACCAGCTCCAGAATCTGTCCCTTTTCAATCACTTTTCTGTAAGCTTCACGATTAGCTTTATCGCCACGATGAAACATTCTTCTCCCCCTCCCTCACCCACATCCCCAACAAAACATTCTCAAATCTATTTATTATCCTCTCTCCCTTTGAGAAGTCTTGTCCTGGACATCTCGTTTCAAGGACTTAAGAAATCCTGGTTTATCTATTTGTTCCTCGTAAGCACGTCTTTCTAACACAGTGGGTTATCCTTGTCGCTGTACTTTACTCTAGGGTGCGTGTGGAAAACCTCCTCATGTCACTGTAGCAAGAACTGATTAAAACAAACACATTTGGGTTGCTGGGGTTCTGCACTCATGGGGAACAGTAATTAAAAGGCAATTAATGCGCTCCAGGGGGGCATTTAATTTACTTTTAATTACTGTTGCTTACAGCAATTTACTTTTAAACGTGGAGAGAGCCTCTTTAGATTATTCCATTTCCTTCCCCCATATAGGGGAGAAACAGGACCCCTCATACTGTGGAGTCCTGTAGCTCAGTCGTTAGAGCACTCGCCTCGCAAGCGAGAGACCTGGGTTCGATTCCCGGCAGGTCAGGGCGAAACCTTGGGCAAGTTTCCTTACTCCACACGCCTAATAATAATCCCTCAAGAAAAAAAAACAATAAAAATCTCTCAATCCACGACTGTTTGTGGGGACGCTGCTGTGCACAATTAGCTGCTGCGTTTCACCCACAAAATCTCCAGTCAATTCACTTTACGGTCTATTCTCGAAGACGCGATAAGGCGCTGTATCAAATGCAAAGATCATTGTTATTCTTATCCAATTGAATCCCCCAGATCCGCATTCAGAGACTTGTTGTGCAATATAGAAGATTAAAACTGATTTCCCCACCTGATAGTTTTTATGCGCAACCACAAAAATGTGACGGATGCAAAGCAAACTGATAGAAGTGTACTCGCTAGGATTTTCTTTCGACAGTATAAAATGTTTTACCTTGTAATAAAAATGGAAAAGTTAGAAATGTAACCCTATCTCCCTTAACACACCTCCCTCACACACACACACACACACAAACACATTGATTTGGGCAGCGATTTGACACAGAACGCCAGTTTTTTGGTCGGAATGAAACATTGCTCTCTTGTAATTCAACATAATCTGGGTTGTCATCTTTATGATATGGAATTTCGGGCCAAATTCAATATCTTAAACAACAGAGAGCTCCCTCGAGAATGGCTCTTGTTGCACTTACCTGCAGTCGATGTGACGGGAGCTTACTTGAGTCTGACCTTCTAAACAGTCACACGGAGCGGAATTAGCACGGTTGATGGTTGATGTGGAAATGATGATCTCTCTCTCTGGCTCCAGACGTTGTCTTGAAAACACTTTGGGACTCTGTCCTGAACGAAATGGGCCATCTAAGTACACGTTGTTGCTTGAATGCATTGGATCCTGAACTCACAGACGGATTCAGCAACTATTATAAATGCAATGTTACACCAGCTGGACCGTACAATCCAAGTACAGTACATGATCAGTCAGGGTCCAATAGAATGGCGGAATAGGCTCGAGGGGCTGAATGGCCAAACTCCTATCTTCCTACAGTGTACTCTTGGCTGGCCATTGCAAGGTATGTCGGTTCAGCTCACTGTTGTCTCGCTTTCCTGTGTGAGAAAGACCCTTGTTAAGCCTTGTTGGGGTTTCAAACCAGGAACACATCAAGGGAACAACTTAGTGTATGTCCTCCGGCTTCCTTCTCAGAAGCCCCGTTGTGTTGGTGTTAATCATAGATAATAATAATCCTCGTATTTGATGTAGCGCCTTATCACATCTCCAAGGCATCTCAAAGCGCTTCACAGAATATATCGTAAAGTGAATTGACTGTGTATTTTGTGGGCGAAATCATTGGTTTCTTCATATCTTTACGAACAGGTAATTTTGTGTTGGTAAGTGCTTTTAATTGCTTTTTTTTGAACATTTTATCCCATTGATTTATTTCAGCTTGAGGTCTCTGGTGCTGTTCCACAATGAGGGTCTTAACACCCATCTACACTCTCTCAGCAGTGAGGACGAGGCCTGGAAAAGCTACCTGGAAAATCCACTCACTGCAGCAACTAAAGCCATGATGAGCATCAATGGTGACGATGAGAGTGTAGCAGCTTTGAGTTTTCTTTACGACTATTACAAGGTATTTTACGTCATAATATAATAATAATAATAATAATCCTGGCTTTTGACAGCAGCTTATCAGGTCGTCGAGACGTCTCAAAGCGCTTCACAGAATATATTGTAAATGGATGGACTGTGTATTTTATGGGACAAACAAACAAACAAACTACACTTTACAATAATTCCTAATTCCTGTGAGCGTTTTGACACCGTGTTTGATGAGGTTAAGGATTATCATCCTTACCTGAGGTGCATGTTTTTCTCATCAGCGCTCTCTGTAAAAAGAAGCATTCGAACCAAGGATAATTTTGTGGGAACTTGTAACATATTTATTAAATACCAAATCGAACTGGGGGCTCCTTTCAGTAAGTGTGAACGCATCACTCCACCTTAAGAGAGAGCCCTAGTAAGAAAGCTGGGGACGCTTTGCCAAACGTTAGCATTGCGGAGGTTTGGATCTTGAGCAATCCTGCAAAATCGACCCCCAGTTGATCTCCTTCTCTGTTTTACTGAGTAGCTTCACGTTTCAATGAATCTCCAGTAAACAACGGGATGGGCTTCAAGTTAGCTTGACTTCGAAATATGCTGAATCATTCCTGTAACTATGAGGGACTCACACAAACATAGACTTATCATTTTTTTCAATATCAGATAGCATCAAGTCATCCAGCTCGCATTGTATTGAGATTTAACCCCTCCTAATTAGGGGTGTAGAAACTGTGGGAGTTTATGTTTCGTTTTCCAATGGGATGTTGTTTCCTTTAAAGATCCCAAAGGAGGAAAGAATCCTTTTGCCTGGAAGAGTACCTTATCCATGTGAACTGAGCCCAGTAAAAAGGTAGGCGATGCGATCGATTCACTAAGGCTCAACATTTTTCTCTCTCGCTCTCTCTCTCTCTGATAATTGGATGCTGTGTGGAGGAATGGGGAAACACACAGTGCATTCTCCTGAGGGCAAATAGTTCTTGCATCTGAAGTGGGTCTTATCTGCAAAAACAGGACATTTTTCTCATTTTCAGTGAAGAGAAACAATACACAAGGGTTGTCCATTCTCCAAACATGCAGACGTTTCCGTCGGTAATCATGTTGCACTGGCAATGTGGGGTGAATACAGGTGTGAATGGCATGGGGAATAAGGTCTGAAGTTTCACCTTATCTTAGGCTGTTAGACCAATTTGTCTAACAGGGGAGCATCCGAGAGCGCCTGAGCACCACGCCGTGTCGTGGGGGTGGGGGGGGGAGGTGATCGCAGGCACGGTAGAAGTGGAACGGAGGGCACGAGGGACAAGCAGGAGGCTGGAGATCTCTGAGGAGATCCCAGCTGGTGCAAAATGTCACTCACTCACTCGCTGACCCAATTGAAAGAAACTGGCAATGACATTCAGAACATTCACAAGAAAAGGTGCAGATGAAGACCATTTGACACCATCAATGGCAACATCGTCTTAAGAGGGGGGAACATTTCAGTTTTAGAAATATTCCGATTTGTCCTTGTTTATTTACAATTTTCTGATATGCTTTGCCTCTCCCCCCCACCCGCCCACCATTACTCCATTCCCCCATAGGAATAACCCTGGAACAGGATTCGAATTTGACGATATTCCATCTCTGGATAATTCAATCCAAGGTCTCAAATATTTTCCTGAGAATCTCACCGTGGCAGCGGAGTACCCTGACCCAATGAGGGGTCCCCTCCGCAGTGCCTCGGACTCTCTCTTTGCCGTTCCCAAAGCCGCCGAGCTGCCAGACTTGCCCAAGACCCCCACCCAGTTGGGAACCTACACCACTCTTCCCATGGACCTGCACGACCACAGTCTCAACGATTCGCTCAATAATATCTTACTGCCTCCGACACAACAAAGGTGGCCCCCAGAAAACTGCTACAGAGATAATTTCAAGGGCTCGTCAACCGAGGTTAGTTTGGTTTAGATTGACTCTATATTCAGAACTCTTGACAGTGCAATAGTAAGCTCTGAGGTAATAATAATAATAACAATAATAATCCTTGCATTTGATACAGTGCCTCATCGTGTCTTTGAGATGTCTCAAAGCGCTTCACAGGATACACTATAAAGCGATTTGACTGTATATTTTGTGGGTGAAACGCTGCAGCCCAATTGCGCACAATTAATGGAAGTAATGGGAGGGATGGGTGGGGGGGGGCGGGGGAGAAATCTGCCAAGATTCAGGGATGGGCGAAGTTTCCAGTGGCTGACAGTAACAGTGTTCCCGTTATCTTAACCATGTCTCATTCCAAACAAATACATTCCGCTTTGTCCATGGATAGAAGTAAATATTCAGCAGCCACAAGGCAAGGCAGACGCCTGGAATAACAGAAAACATGTCTTTATTCCCCAAGACCTTGTGTCTAACAAGAAACCCTCATGAATACTTTGCAAGGCCTGATAAGAATCTGCTGCTGGGCAGTAAAAAGGTGGGATAAAACAAAAGCAATATTTCTCTTCAAGCTCCACTCCCTCCACTGTAATCCATTAGCCGGTAGACAGGGAGGTGTGGTGGGGGAGGTGGGGGGAGGATCTGTTTGGGGAAGAGGCTCCTCTCTCGATGTTTAAATGTATCTGCTGATGGATTAATTAAGAATTAATTAAATGAATTAAATTGATATCACCTATGAGATCATCAGCAGTTGTGTTGTTCCATAGTAGCCTTGTGTGTAAGGCTACTATGGGGAATAAAGTCCAAAATTCCACATGGTCTTAGCCCAGTGTTAGACTAATTTGTCTTGAAATTTAAGATCTCGCAGAATTTTGATCAATTCTTCAAACTCAATTTGGAGTTCGCTTATTTTTAGCGGAAGCCAGCTTCGAAAACTACAATTGAATTTAAGAATTTTCACCCAATTCTGCGTGATCTTGAAGTCCAAGACGAAACGGTGTTTCAGGCTAAGACTAGAAGGAATTTCAGGCTTCGGGAGGGTGGGAGGGGGATGGAGGGGGAGAAAGTGAATGACAAAAGTTCGATGAGTTTAATTACTTGTATTTTTCTGTTTAAAAATAGGGCTTTTTTGATGATTTGATCAGAGCACCGAGTCTGGAGGAGAATACACAAAGCGGAGCAAGGTGGGGTGGATTCTTCTCGTTTCAAAATGATGTAACTTGATTTATCCAACGTCTTTCAAATAAAGACCTTAGAAAGCATTTTTACATGTAGCGGCGAACCTCGAACAGGGAAACAAGAGATTTTAAAAATGTTGATCTTATTCTCTCGGTCAATGAGATATTGTCTAAGAGGATTTTGAAGGCGGGGGGAGGGGGGACAGAGGTAGAGAAACAAAGAGAGTTTCAGAGATCGGTGGTTAAAAGTTTGACCATCGATGAGCGAGCGAAAAGAATGGGGAGCGAGTAACAGACCTTGAGACTGTGTGCACTTTGCTGTAGGACAGATTCTCTCTCTCACTTTCCATTTTTGTGGAAGCCCATTTTGTTAGAGGCGTAGTGGGGGAAGGGGGGTCAATGAACATGTTTTAAAATGAATATTGAATGCCAGTAGTATTCTGAGTAGATCAGGAAACTCTAAGTAACGAGTGCTCGTCATCGCCAATAAAAAAATGGAACTTTTCAAAGAAACCGTCTGATGTAGCAGATCATCGTAAATATCTATTTAGATAACTAAAGGAACACAAGCGTTGGCAGCGGGTTGTGAAAAAGGCACGTAAATGGAACTGAACTGATTGCTCTTTCAAAGACACGATGGGCTGAATGGTGGCCTCGTTCTGTGCTGTACGTTTCCGTGATTCTAGGATAATATCGCTAACAATCATGGGATCTGTAAAATAATAAGCCTTCCTTGTATTTATACGGAGTGCATCAATTAGTTTTTAATGTGTATGAATATTTTTGAATTGAACAATTCCACACAGGTTAAGCTGAATGATATATATGCACTGGGCACTGAGTTTGTTGCTCTGAAGGAAGCATTAGCCTTTTCAAGATGTTCTGATTAAAATACTGTGAATTGTAATCAAATTTATGACAGAAATTTCACTGGTCTCGTATTTGGAATACCATAAAATCAGAGGGAAGCACTGGGTGTCCCCTTTAGGTATAATTGAGACTGCTAAATCTAGTTCATAACAAGAATGGAAACAAATTCAGTTCAAGATTAAGTCAAGGAGTTTCTGAGCCTGAAAATGGTAACAGTCTAAATAGGATTTTGTTCTGAATTGCAGAATAGCGTTTCCTCGATCACAGTGCAAATGCCAAGCTGAATCTGAAAGGTTATGTTTAACGCAGTACGATTACGCAGTGTCTTGTGTAATTAACATTAATTGTTTGTGTTTGTTCTGCTTTTGAAGGACTGACTTTATCTGTATGCTAGAGGCACCCAAATCTGTGAACCAGAAACCAGGAGAGGAAGCAATGGGTTACCTTAACAAGGGGCAGTTTTACCCCATCACACTGCGGACCACGGAAAACAGCAAATGCCTGCAACAATCTTCATCCAAAGTCCGAGTAAGAGGCTTTTATTAACGATAAAGTGATATGAAGAGAATCGAGGGGTTACAGGAGATGAGGGTTAGGTGGGGTGCAGGCTCTTGTAGAGTATAATTCCCGGGCGGGTTTGGCTGGGCTGAATGGCTTGTTTCCGTGCGGTAAAGTTCTTTGCCAATCTACGTAAAAACTTTTCTGAATCGCTTCCAAGTATGTGCTGGCTTAAAATCACACCCAATACCATAATTGTGTCACTCACAAATGGCATCTCGCTGACAGCTCTCTTTCCTGTAACTTAATGGCAGAGTTCAAATCGAGAATTATTAACTTCTTTAACGATTTGCATCGATTGTTAAATGGGAACATATATTGTAAATCTTCCAGGATTTGTTAACGTCATGCATTTCCAAGCCGGGTTTTTCACTTGCTTTGTGAATCAAGGGAGACATTGTTCAGTTCAGCCTTAAAACCTTAAATTTTTTTTTTTTTTGGAGAGATTGTCTCAACCCCCAAATAGTTTTCAATGTGTATGAATGTTTTGCTGGGAGGAGCACTATATTGTCAGAGGTACCGTCCTTCGGATGAAACATTAACCCGAGGTCCCGTCTGCCTATTCAAAAAGAGAAAGGAGTTTCTCTCTCTCATTGTCCTGGCCAACAATCCTCCAGAGAAATAAAAACACCCAGTCACTATCCTTACAGAAAACCTGTGAAGCACTTTGAGGTGCTTTGATGCGAAAAGGATTAAATGCTATATGCTATATCGAATGCAAGGATTATTTATTTATCTTTACATTTTCACAAAAGCTCTCAGTCTTTAGAAGTAGGGTTATGGAATCTTACCAATATCTAAGAATCTGCTTAATTAATTGAATTAATTGGCATGGAAAACAGTGCCTTGGGTTGTTCCAAAGTCTTACCACAGAATAAGTAGTTAATTATACTTTCTGACAAAGCTATATTGCTTTAACCCATATGCAGATTGATGGCATTGATCTGATTAAAAGTGACAAATGTGGTTGAGTCTCTCAATCCTTTCATTGCTGTAACTGCAGGGAGTGAGGTCTCAATGGGCTGACTGACTGGCCCTCCTATTCCTAAATTCCTATGTATATTTTCGTCTTAAACCAAAAATGTCTAGAGGGCGATGAGGTAACGTTTGGATTTGAGCAGCAACTTGAGTCGTTTTGTACGGGGTCCAGTTGCTTTAGGGCAGTTTTGATCCCCGCTTGCTATGGTTTGGATCCTAATTCGATCAGTGTTACCTGCTAAATTCTGTTCCCACCATCTCAGATAAAGAATTGAAGATGCACATCTCATTCTCACATACTCAGTTAGTCGCTATCTCAGCCAAAGTGCCAGGACAGACAGTGTTAGGCTCTAGGGAGAATTCCTGTGTGTTTTTTTAACGAAATAAAGCACTGGCTGGCCTTTGAACACCTTCATTTTTTTCTCTCTCTCACTCACTCACTCTCTCTCGCTAAACTTTTCTCTAAACTACTCCACCCAGCCCAATATTTATTCAACAACAGGTAGCAGGTATGTACTTGTGAGCTGAACTGACATCTTAAGGGGCCCAGAATGATTAATGTTTCACTTCAGTTCAGTTCTGGAGTGAGGTTGAATGATTGACATAATTTCAGTGAGTTGCGAACTGCATGGACCTTTTCACATAACATTCTTATGTTCTTATGTTCAGGTGACCTCAGGAAAGGTGTAGGTGTGTGTGTGTGTGTGTGTGAGGGGGTTCGAGACTTCTTAACTATCAAATGGACGCTATTCACACTTTAGGTGAAGTGGTCAAAAAAATGGATTGTTTTCCAGAAGGGATTTTGTAAATTTATTTTAAGTTGATTACTAAATAATACATTATCGCAGGATGCATTATTGCTAAACCCTGAATCTTCTCCATTAATAATAATAATATTAATGATCTTTGCATTTGATATAGTCCTGTTGCATTTGAGACGTCTCAAAGCGCCTCATAGAATGTACTGTAAAGTGGATTCACTGAAATTGCCTCAATCGTTGATTCCTACGCAGTCATGTTCTGTGCTCGGTAACGTTTACGCGTTAAAATTGCCAAGTTCTCAATATGTCTTAGTTCTTTTATGTCTAAAGTGCTCTGCAAAATGGCAGCCGGGCTCAATTGGTAGCGGTCCGAGTGGAAAGGTTGCCAGTTCAAGTCCGGGTCAGGACTTTGAAGTCACACTACATTGCTGTGGGAGTGTTGGATGTCACTGTCCTTCAAATGAGACGTTCAACTGAACTCCTAACCACCTGGTTAGGTAGACGTCAAAGGTCCCACTAATTTGCAAAGAGAAGGATGTTCATTCAGCGTAGTCATTCTGTTGGCTGTTTGTGGGCACATGGCATTCTGTAAATGCTTACAAAACACACAGTCACAGGCGTTTATACACTTCTCAATCAATCCCTTCAATTGCTTTGAAACATCACTTTCCTGATGTGAAAGGCACTAGAGCAAAGGCAAGGATTATCATTATTATAATTGTTGTTACGGAACCCATGTCACTTACTCTAGAATCTTATTTTTCAAAAGACAGCATTTTAAAAAATAGACTTGACCCTTTCAAAAAACTAATCTCTTCAAAAAATAATGATAATAATAATTATTTGGTCACTCAATCCACGACTGTTTGTGGGGCACTGCTGTGCGCAATTGGCTGCCGCGTTTCACCCACAGACTACATAGTCAATTCAGTATATTTGCAGTATATTCTGTGAAGCGCTTTGAGACGTCTCCAAGACGTTGATATCAAATGCAAGGATTATTATTATTATTATTTATTAACACTGACCTGTTCGCTGAGACTGGCTGGAAATGGAGTTTGGTTGGAATGGCTAAATTAAATTATAAGCCTTAAATTTTGAAAGTCTTAGTCCGAGCAAACTAATAACTACTGCCTTCAGTGTAATGATTGTTTTGTTCTACGCAGAGTGTCATTATGGCTGTTTTTGACAATGTGAAGACTCCAGAGGATCAGCTGAAATTCTGGAAACATTGGCATTCTCGACAGCCCACAGTCAAGCAGAGGGTCGTTGACTTTGGTGAGGAAACGTACCACATGTTCTTTTATGTTCCCTGGCTGCTGCCTTTCGGATCCATTTTTTCTTTCTCTCTGGCTCTCTCTCTCTCTCTCTCTCTCTCTCTTTATTTCCTTCCTTTCTTTCTTCTCTATCGAGGTGTCGACACGGTGATGGCTGAATGTGCTTGTACGCGATATAAAAACTCTCAATGGGTTGCAGTAAAGCTTGCTGTTAAAGTGATCCCTGACTGGAGATGACTTGCAAATGTCAGTGAATGGTTTAATCTTAAAGAGCCCACAGCACAGAAGAAGTTCCTTCACCCCCTCCCACCCTTGTATCTGTGGTGACCCTCACTCTCCACCACAGCCCTGAGCAACATTCCTGGTCAGGGAACCTCAGCTTGGTTTGGAGACTCTTACGCACGGTGATGGGTTTCCGCATGCGTCAGACACCCACCCAGTTGACCCCCCTCCCCCTCCCCCCACCCACCGCCTCCCACCACCCCCAAAAAACCCGCTAATTTATATTTCAACTCATTTGTTTCCGTTTTACTGTTTTCTCTGCAGCAGATTACAAGGAAAGTGCCAACACGGTCAGTTGTGTTGAAGAGGTGGCCTTCAACGCTCTGTCATTCGTCTGGGATAGTAACAAGGAAGCAAAGGTATAATTGGGAGATGGGTGGGATTATGCAGTAGAATATAAATGTGATTAGGTATGAGAATATAATGATGGGTGACTCACTCACTATTCATACTAAGTGACTGTTGATGTTTTAATTATTATTTTGACCATAAAATACAGTCATTATAATTTACAGTATATACTTTGAGATGTCTCTACGATGTGATGAGGAGCAATATCAAATGCAAGGATTATGATTATTATTATTATTATTATGATTGTTATGAATATTATTATTATTAAACCTTGTGGTGACCTATAAGACACTTTACCTCTTAAAGTATATTTTCTGCCAGAGCTAAGAAACCACACCACAAGTCCGGCATTAAATCGCTTTAAGGGAAGTTGAGGGGAATCAAACCAGTTAAAATAAAACACTTTAAGTATGTCTCAGTCTCTCGAGGCGTTTGTCAAATAATGCACATCTCAAAGCAATTTTTCTCCAAGGGCTGTAGGGTGTGGGATCAGAACCCTTTCCAAACTGATTAGAGAAGGGAACAGATGAAGGAAAAGAAAAAAAAAAGCTTTATTTCCTATTTTGTTGTTCCTCATTCCATCCGACACCTGTTCTTTTTGCAGTTACGAGCAATTTGAAACAACATCCCCTTAACGATCGCGAAGGGTTTTGGGTTCTGCAGACCGCCTTGAGTTGGGTGGCTGTACATTTGTCTCTGTTGATCAGAACAAGGAAATAAAGCAGAGAAAAAATACCTGCTGTGACAAGGGCATGATTTAAAGCTCCAATTTGACAGGGTAACCTGTGTATACGTTTTGAGTATATGTTGTAACGATACTCCCCGGGGTCTGATGCTAATCAGTGTGCAGCTGTCTTAAATTGGTTTGTTCAGAGTGAGGACCTTGAGAAACATGATAAGATCACATCGTTAGAACCAGGATGAAATTGCGATCTTCGCCTGAAAAAAAAAGTATATAATCTAATCAATCTGTCTCTCTGAGGGCGGGTATTGGTTGTAGAGAAATGACTCACTAGTAAATTCACAGATTGATCTGTTAATTAGAAGCGTGCTCCAGGCACTAGCGAACTGCATTGACAGATGTGAATATGTTTTCCTTCTGTGATGGATTCAAAGTTTTAAATAGAAACTTTGATTTTCAGATTCAGAAGAACGCCAAAAATATAATCTGAGTTCACATGACGCGCTGGTGTATTTAACAAGATGCAGTTAACCATCTACCAGCCTTTCAAATGTAATATTCTGACGCAGTGTTCACCTGCAGTAGATACAAAAATATATGATATAAATATTATTTATCTCCAGGACACTGAATATAATTGGATGCTCTTATGCTGGAATGCAAAGGTGAAGCTGTGCATCTAATGCAAGGATTATTATTTCAATTACTCTTGATTCTGTTGTTGTGCAAAATCACCTGACACACCATTGCTCCTTTCTCCCTCCATGTTTCACGAAGAGGTGGTAATAATTATTTTAATAATAATGGTAATCCTGGCATTTCACACAGCGCCTCATCACGTCGTCGAGACGTCTCAAAGCGCTTCACAGAATAAACTGTAACGTTAATTTACTTTTTATTTTGTGGGTGAAATGTGATACCATGTCGTCTCAAAGCGGGACAATCTATGAAGTCTAGTGACTGTCATTTCTTAGTCAAGAAAACCTGCTCTTTTGTTTTTAAAAGAAAAAAACAACTTTCATCAGTGTCCCCCCCCCCAAAAAAAAGAATAATTTTCCATCCTTGTTTCCTTTCTTTCTGTTCTCTTTGTCCAGGTGTACATTGGAATTAACTGTCTGAGTACGGACTTCTCCTCACAGAAGGGGGTGAAAGGTCTTCCCTTAAATCTCCAGGTAGACACATACGCCTGTGATGCTGAATCCACCAAACCCATCCATCGGGCTTTCTGCCAGATCAAGATATTTGTGGACAAGGTACAATACTATTATTTGGCCCACAAAATACACAGTCACTACACTTTACAGTATGTTCTGTGAAGCGCTTCGAGACATCTCAATGACGTGATAAGGCACAGTATCAAATGCAAGGATTATTATTATTCTAACACTAAGTGAAGGGAATACTCTGCTCGGGTGATCGTTTTAGATATTGTAGTGCTCCGTGATATTGGGAAAAAGATTTCTATGGAAGTTAAAATAATAAGAAAAATAAACCTTGGATTTGATATACCGCCTTATCACGTCTTTGAGACGTCTCGAAGAGCTTCACGGCTTATCTTCTTACAATAAAGATTGTACAAATGTAGAAAATAGGAGGTGGAGAGGGAAAGAGGGAGAACTGTAAAGCAGATAAACATTAAGGTTTTTTGTTTTTAAAAAAAGTCATAAAAGAAAAAGTGAAATCTAAATTAAATATTGGAGTTGGAAAATTCCCAAGAACGTAGCAAAGAACTACCCCCAAATTCACTGTGAGCTCAAAAGCTTGCTCAAAAGCCTCAGAAATGTCCGTCTGCGTTTGTGGAAATCATAGAAGCATATCATAGAATTATACAGCGCAGAAGGAGGCCATTCGGCCCATCGTGTCTTTGAAAAGAGCTTCCAAACCAATCCCATTCCCCCGCTTTCTCCCCGTAGCCTTGCAAACTGATCCTCCCCAAATGTAAATGTCACAGGTAAATGTAACATAGAGCATTCTCGTCAGCCTGGTACTTAGATGCAATTGTTAAAGGAGCTATGCTGTATCACTTACTGCGATATCTTTATCTTCAAAGTCTCTGAATCTTCACCTTACGTGGGAGATTTGGAGATGAAGAAATTGCAGCGTAGTGTGCGAAAGAAAGAGATTCCGATCTGATCTGATCCGAAATCTGTTGCCCAAAGAAAATACCAATCCTTTGCAGAATATATTCTGCACAAGTTTTGGTGAGTGCAGTGGAGGAATGCTCCCTGACCCGATTGTACGCATATTATTATTACGGTTGAGTTGTGCTGAGTGTTTGTGTCTTTTGAGCTGTGCAGTAAGAAGAACCGATGAAACGATTAGTGAAAAGTTATTGAAGTCCCACCTGATTTTCCCCCTATAGCGAATATGAAATGTTCAGTTTTGTGAGTTGGTTGGTTGGTTAGTTAGTTATCTATCCAGCTAGCTAGTCAGTCAGTCAATCCTGCCCCAGTGCTGCTGTTACCGGGCTATAATCGAGGGAGTTTGGTTCATCTTACGGCTGTTGACACCACCAATCTGATCGATCATTCCTCTGCCACTGAATCCCATTCTTGGTGTTCCTCGCAGGGAGCCGAAAGGAAAATGAGAGATGAAGAACGTAAGCAATCGAGAAGAAAAAGCAAGTTCCCCGATTCGACCACAGGCAGTAAGTGAATTACACGGAGGGTTCGATTAATGGTCCGGAATGCTCACCGGGAAAGGAGCTGGAGTTTCAGGACTCGGTTGAGCACTTGAGAGCAAGATGGCCAACTTCCAGGTCGTCAGTTTGCTGATCAGTGTCGCTTCCTGTTGCAATCCGGTGCAGGAAGCATTCGATGTGGCATAGGAAATTATGTCATCGACGACCTGACGACCCAGAAGTTGGCCAATTTTCGCGCGGGAAGCCTTTGGTTTGGGCGGGGCTTATGCACAGTGATTTTAAGGACCCTCATTATTAGGGTCAAGCTTGTAATGGTGGGGGTAATAATCCTTTAAAAATAATAATTTGGTCACTTAATCCACGACTGTTTGTGGGGACGCTGCTGTGCGCAATTGGCTGCCGCGTTTCACCGCAAAGCACACAGTCACTGCACTTTACAGTATATCTGTGAAGCGCTTTGAGACGTCTCGAAGATGTGATAAGGCGCCGTATCAAATGCAAAGTCTCCTTGCTGGTATTTTCCGCTTCTGAGATCTTTTAATTGTCGTTTTAAAAACAGCCGCACATAAGAGAGTCCCGGCCACAGACCACAAGTCCAACGATGTGACCTACTTTAAAACGGTGTCGGATCTGGTGTCCATCCCGGTTCTCTTCACTCCCGAAAGCCATTTCCTTTATCCTCAGCGAAACGGATTGGTACGTATTCAGCATTTAGCACTCGCAGAGTTAGACGCCTGATACTGTCTCAGAGCTGCCATTTTAAGTACGATTTTGCAAGGGATTAAGTACATCCCATTTAGTTTCTTGAGACAAATTATATAAATGCAAGTTGCTTGGTGTTACAACCTATTTATGATAAACAATAATTACTTTTTTTTAGCAATTGGTGAAAAAAAAGAATAGATCAGGAACAAGAAGGACCACAAATAGACTTAAACGTATTTACTCAATACCTAATTCGCTGCTCCCATTGATATAACACATACTTTATTTCATGTCTAATTGCGAGACTAGGTTTCAAAATCCTAAAATTGACCAATCATGAATCGATGCTAATGTTGAAATCCTGTTTCAATTGTTTCAGAGTCACTTGATGGAATCTGAAGCACTGTATCACGAAGGGTACGTAAACCTTTTGGGTTTATCCTGTAACCAAAGCCAAACTGTGACTGTGATATTCTATGTGGTCAAGTTATTATTCACGGTGGCACTTTACCAGAGATTGCTTCACAGCTGTGGGTCCCAGCCTGCCTGCTCAGGTGATCAAGCATGTACGTTCGGAAGCTCCTACGTGGGCCGTTAAGGATGAATAAGAAAGAGCTTAAAGCCCATTTAGAGTCCCACTTTCTTTCCCTAAAGTCGGGGCAAGTGTGGTCATGTGTTTCATCAAGTTAAGGTTATCTTCCCACCCGGTCAGGAAATGGAACCTCATCCACTGTAGCTCACGACTAGCGTAAGAACAATAGGGAACATTTAAGAACATGTGTAGTGACAGTGTGGGTGGAAAGCTGACTGTATGCTGTGCGTAGGCACATTGCAATAGTTTTACGCATTTTGCTGCGTCCACAAGTTAACAAGCTCCAGAGGGTTTTAGAGCAGATCTTTACACAGTGCTTCATTGGTGAGATCCCTCCAACACCGCACCTGTTAAGTGTATAATAATTGGCTTTTTTTTAAGCCATAAGTTCTTTAGCTTTGATTTTTATGCATTTTCCCCCACACCGTTCTCTCCAGCCACCTTCCTGACTGAAATGATTGGGGAATCAAGGTTCTGCTATTGGTTTCTAAGTGACTGACTAACCAAATGACTGGGACAATCTCCTAGAATTCACTAATAAAACAAAATAACCGTAATAAACTTCCACCTACCACCACAGGCTGCTGCTGATTTACAAGTACACACTTAAATTAACCTGTGTGAATGACTACTGCCCTGACCACAGCAGAGAATATACAAGACTGTTGTGTTATAGCAAGGTCCACCTCAAACCAGAACAAATTGAGGAAGTCACCTCACAAATGGAATTTCATTCTATTTTTATTCCGTACATTTCTTTTAATTGCCATTGTAAAGACGGTGCCGGATTCTGAATTATGAGGGTGTTTATCTAATTGTCGTATGCGGTGAGAGTGAAATCACTGGGACTGTGTCTAAACACCACTCACTGAAGCCAAAGGCTGGTTTGAACTTGTTAGCCGTGTGAGTGAAGACAAATGGTATGATTCATGGAAAGAACTTATAACCCTTTCAATTTTTAGAATCCGGTCATTGTGCGAGTGTCAAAAAGACTATTATCTCAGTAATTAGATGTAGTCACTGCTCACATTTATGAAATGCAAGGCAGTGCCGTAAACAATTTAAGGTTTGGACCCTCAGTGAGAAGCAATCACTTTTACCTATAAAATCATCTCTTATCTGACTGCATTTTGCTCTCCGTTGTATTTGTTTTATTTTATTTCCTGCGCTTACCCTTGTTATGTGACTGGCATCCAATTCCTGTGTAGTCTCTCTCATGCGCTCTGAAACACAACGTGAATCCCTGCATGTATTCATACTCTGGGACACCCACTCTCCCCACACCCCACCCCAGCTTACACCCACTCTCCCCACTCGAGCTCCCAATCTATTGCTGCAAATCCTTTTGAGACTTCCTCGTATGTGAGAGATGCTTTATAGACGCACGTTATTGTTGTTGTTGCCGTTCATCATAATGTGGTTTGATTCTGCAGATTTTCAATGAAAAGGAAAAACAAGGAAATCTACCCAGAAGAGTTGGAAACTCCAGTCAAACAAGCCAGACTTTGTGAACCAGAGAGAGGTACGACATGAGTCAAACATTCTCCCAAAATATCTGTTGTCGCTTGAATTTTAGACCATTAAAAAGTTCCTAATTAATTAATTCAGATGGTGAAGTGAGTTTCTCTTGGTTTCCTGGCCAAAAATTTTCCTCCACCCCCATCCCATCCACCCCCGATCAAATTGCTCACTCACTTTTTGTGGCACTTTGCCTTGGACAAATTAGGCTGCTTACCAATACACAGTCACTACACTTTACAGTATAAATCCTGTCTTGACGTGATAAGGCACTAATGTATTGCTCTCCCTGAGCCTGGCAGATCAATATCCACAGCAACATAAGCCTTATTGATATAAACCAGCGACAAATAATTTATTATTCTGTCAGTAGGGATACTATAAAATTACTTTAATCACGTGACAAAGTGAGATCAGTCACTGACTGTCGTGTTTGTAAACTGTGATTCCGTTGTGTCCAATAGAGACAAGACTCAGAACGACTACAGAATATTGGCAGAATTCTGTAATTTTACCAGTCACATAGCAATCCACGGCAGTTTGTGGGGACGCTGCTGTGCGCAATTGGCTGCCGTTTTTCACCCACCAAATATACAGTCAATTCACCTTACAGTATATTCTGTGAAACGCTTTGAGTAGTCTCAAAGACGTGATAGTGGCTATATCAAATGCGAGGATTATTATTATTATGATTAATTTTGCCTCATAGGTAAACATGGAAATGAAAGATTAGCCTTCAGAACCAACTGCTTGGGTGGAATCTGTAAAATGATTGTAAAACAGGTGCTCTGGCCAGAAGGGGGAAGTGAAAGATTGGTCAAAAGGTTGTCTTGAGCCCCAGTCTGTAGAGATAACCATCTCCCCAGTCTGTGTTTAGTAAAAAAAATGCCAGAGGCAAAAATGACAAGGCTCTGATCTTTGTGTAGAAGAAAAGCAAAGGCAGAGATTCTGGGAGAATAAAGTCAAGATCTCCCTTCTCTTCCCCCATCCCATCGTCACACTCTTTAGAAGCACGAGCTCTGTCTGTCTGAGCCATTGCCTTCCTATCATTGCCTATCCATCTCGTCCGGGGAAAAGATACAACACCTTGGCTTGAGGGGTGACTGTGGAATCTGTGCCCCACCTTTGCTTCAATTACAGTGAGACTATTGTCAAAGATTAATGTTGGCATCAATGTTGTTTTCATTGGCGTTTTTGACCAATTAACAGGAGCTGTTGACTCATACTAATCTGCTGTGATATACCATCAGATTAATGTTAATGAAGGTAGCCTCCAGAGGAGGCCTCTGCCTTGGCTTTGTTTACCAAACGTCCACAGAATAAAGTTGCCGTAAAACTACTTTGTAATACAACAACAAGTTACGTCAGTATTAGTGCCTTTCACATCGGGTGGATGTCCCCACGTGGTAGATCTGTAGCTTGTTCTCCAGGAGCTGCACAAGATTGTTTATGTCAAGAATTCCTGCATATCAGATCTGTCTATCAGGGTGGATCAATGGACTGTGTTTAGGGATTAGTTACCGGGATAAAACTGACAGCATGTGGGTTCATTCGGTGTGTTAGGATTAATGTTGCTGTGCATCCGGGAACAATAAATGACACAATAATAATCCTTGCATTCCAGTGAAAGGATAATATACAAGTTAAACCCATTCCTTCTTCACAGTGTTGCTATATGTCCGGAGAGAAATGGAAGACGTATTTGATGCCCTGTTGTTAAAGACCCCCAATCTTCATGGACTGAAGAACGCAGTAAGTAGAATATTACTGTGTTCCCGTTACTCACTATCCCATCTGTAAAGGCAGTGAGATCAAATGAGATGAAACCTGCATACGGTCGGGAATCCGCTGCCTGAAAGGACGGCGGAAGCACATTCAAAAGTAGCTTTCAAAAGGGAATTGGATATGTACTTGAAAAGGAAAAATGTGCAGGGCTTTGGGGGTAAGACCGGGGGGAGTGGGACTAGTTGGTAGCTCTTTCAAAGAGCCGGAATAGGTACGATGGACCGAATACCCCTGAGTTGTTCAGGGTAACATGCTGCCGCCACTTTGGAGGAAGGGAGAGAGAAAATACAGTATGGCCGACAGTGGGACTGTAGAGTAGTTTGGGGGTGGGGGGTGGAAGGTGGGGAGGGAAAGGAGAGAGAAAGGTAGGATTATTGGGCTGGGGCACTTCATAATCCCTTTCCTTGCCATCATCTCACTGGATGCCGACCTCACCTCAGCATTACAATTCCGTTACCTCTACAAACAGAGGGACAATGGTAATTCTGTGGGTTGGCCATAAATGTGTGTCCGCCCACCTTGCCCGAGCTGTAATAGCACGCCAGCTGTCCACAACATCTGTTTTGGAAATGACCACCTGGGCAATAACAATCAACCCAACAATAGTGCAGACAATAAAGAAATAAACTTTTCAGCCTTTGGAGACCACTTGTGAACAAAGATCATCTGGAAAAGCTAATCTTACAACTACACGTTCTGTGCTAAAAAAAAACATCACTGGATCAATTCTACCGATTGTTGTGTTTCTTTGTAGGAGAGTTTCAAGTCAATCTCTTACACTCCCATGTTTCAAACCTCTCCTAAGACTTGAGCAATATGTAATGTGGAGCCTTCAGCTACAACAGTTTATATTCACATCATGAGCGTCTCAAAATGCTTCACACAATTGTCTGCGCCCCCCCCCCCCCCGGCTGAACAGAGGGGCTGGGGGAGCTGAGCAGGGATAATAATAATCCTTGCGTTTGATATACTCCCTTATCACATCTTGCGATGTCTTAAAGTGCTTCACGGAATATATTGTGAAGTCTAGTGGCTATGTATTTTGTGGGCCAAATGGAATGGGGGTTGAGGGGGGGGTGGGGAGATAATCAGAAGCATGGTTGATAGTGTCAGCCGAGCGGAAGAAATGGCCGGGTCGATAGGGGAGCAGGAATGCGTGCCGGGAACTGATTTTATTTTTTGCTACCGTTGTTAGCCATCCCTCTTTTAATAACTATATTTCCAAATTCTTAACACAGATCTCGGAGAAATATGGACTGCTGGAGGAGGGGATTTGTAAAATTTATAAGAAGTGTATGAAAGGGTAAGTAAATGAGCAAATTTTCTCTCTGTGCGGACTGTATTTCACTTATATTACTGGAAATAATATAATAGTAATAATAATCCTTGCATTTGATATAGCACCTTATCACCTCATTGAGATGTCTCAAAGCGCTTCACAGAATAAAGTGTAATGACTGTATATTTTGTGGGCGAAACGCAGCAGCCAATTGCACACATCAGGGTCCCACAAACAGTTGTGGCCCAATTTTGTTTAAGGGAATATTACCCCCAGAAAACAATCCACCAATCAATTAACAACCGGGTTTCTAATTCTAGGTAAACAGTGGCGTGTGTGTGGAGTAAAGAAATTTGCCTAAGGTTTTACCACACCCAGGAATGATATATTTCTGAGTGATCAGTAAATCTCAGAGCAACATATACTTTAGGGAGGATAGAACTGACTTGTGCAGAAATAGGGAAATTAGAACCTTATTTCAAGGAAGAGTCATATGAATCATCTCTCTCTCTCTCGAGCTGTTTTGATTGTAAGTTGTTAATTATTTTTGCCCTTTACTTTGACCAATTGTATTCTCTGAAAAGCGAAGTTTTATTTTATTTTTTAATTGCGAAGTTTAAAAATACACCTTCAGCGAATTCTCCCGAACTTCGAACATCTGTCACGGTAATTGTAGAACGGCTTAGATTAGAAGATGTGGCATTTTGTTTTTGTACTTGGGAGTTGACTACCAGGGAGTGAAACATTACCCTTAAGCCTTCCTCGAGGTGCTTTTTTTTCCCGGGCCAGCTTTGGAATGAAGGAAGAGCTCAGTGTGACAGAGGTTTCTGCAGCTGAATTGAAATATGGGTTTGTGGGTTTGGCAATTTCAATATCCAGGCTTTGCAGAACAAAAAAGGTAATACCTGGGTGAGAGGAAATGAATTATGTGGAAATAGTTAAACAAGACCTGGAATGTTTGTTCGTGACTGGGTTGGAATGTAACCATGGCTGATGTGCAAAGATTTTGTTCCTTGCCCAGTGACTCACAACGAGAACTTAATCAGATGGGTGTTACGATTTTTGTCACTGGAGCCACTGGATCTGCTTAAATATAGCAACTGTGAAGATTGTGAAGTGGCCAATTTTCTGACATTGGAAAGGCATTGCCCTCCTGCCTGTCCTCACAGGTGTGAGATTAGTTTGTGAGATCTGAGACAAGCTGCATTGAAAGAATACAGCACTACCTTCAGAGGAGAGGAAGAATTGTCTATTATTTACATCAACGCAGTCAAAGAAATATATAATGACCCATAGATTTGTGGTCGCGAGCCTGTCATGTCGGGAGGAACGTCTCAAAGCACTTTGTAGGATATGCTGTAAAGCGGAATGGAATGACTGTGTATTTTATAGATGAACATGGCAGCCAATTGCGCACAGCGACGTCCCACAAAATCTCTGTGATGAGTTTGTGGACTGACATGACAAGTGTTTAAACAGAAACCTGCGGGGTTAACTCTCTCGTTGTTTCTTCTAAAATATATTGAATGAAGGCTGGGGGGGTGGAGGGGGCATTTTGGAAGTTTAGGTTTAAGCACAGATCTTTCTTAACATGTTTTCTCCACACCCTTGCCCTCACCCCATGACTCAGGCTGCAGACAAAAACTTTCATGAGCACCGATACTCTGATCAATGAATTCTGATGGTTATTTTCTCCTTTTGCTCTCCCTTCCCCTCCAGAATCTTGGTGAACATGGATGACAACATTGTGCAGCATTACTGTAACCACGCTGCGTTTCTGGTGGAGGTGAAGGACATTATCGGAGGCTGTCAGATAATCCTGAAAGAGATTTAAGGAGTCTCGGCATTTATGGACAAACTGGCATGAGAACATAAGTCAGTCAGCAGTCACCCTACCTCTCCCTCGCTGCTCCAAGCACATTTATTTGTTGGACCTTTCTGATATTTGGACTGACCAAGGAAAGGTCTCACTTTGAACAGGACAAGTTTTTTGCAACTGAACTTAACGAACATGTTGGGAGGACTTTTTTTATATACTGTATTATATATATATAGATATATATATATATATATCTGCAACCAAGAGGGTGACATGAGTTTGAAGGAGTTCACTTTCCCACTTGTTGAAATGCTCTTGTTTAGAAAGCTGAACACATTAAACCTAGGTGCACAGAGTACAAGGAATATATTTCAGTTCGACCTTAACTGACGCATTATGTTTATTGTGTCACCGAATCTCTAGGTATACCTCAACGTATCAGAAAGTTAATCTCAGGATTTCAGGCCTTTTTTCTTCCCATCATCCATGCGTGTGTGTGTGTGTGTTTTGTTTCTCTGTGTGTCTGAAACCCCAGCGATGTTTCACACTCTCTGCAAATCCTTCAGTGTAAGGAATTGCAAAGACATCAATGTAAAAAAACAACAACCTTGTTAGAGTGCTGGTGAAGTATGTGGAAGAATTTGTTGTCGATAGAAATGCAATTCAAAACTCTTTAAGAGATGTGAAATGCTGTGTAAACCCAGACACTTTTTCCCTCACCTTCAAGTTAAGTGCAGTCAAAAGTGTCAATGTATTAGCAAAATCTTGCCCCAGTTATACTTCATGTATCATCTTCAACACACTTGCCTCTTGCGTTGAGAGAGGAAATGTTCATGTTTCATGTGTAATTAGAGTTTATGCAGATGTCCCTCTTTTAAAGACTAGACTGGATCGAAAGGTAATCTCATGTAAAGTCTTGCCATAGTAATTGAGAAACCAAATATTTTGGGAAACCCCAAGAATTTCTGGTATTTTGTTACTGGACATTAACCTCCTTTGTAAGTACTGAATGTGTTTTTTTCCCCTGCCTGTTTCACTGTTTGCCATAGTATATTACTGAGAAATTGTACAATGAAGTTTGGAAACGTTGCCTTTGATGATTGGCACTTGGCAAAAAAACTTGTCGTAGGAAAGCAATGTTTTCCTACGTGTAGCAACAAACCAGGGAGAGCACAAGAACTAAACTGGCCCTCTGTCTCTTAGTCAGCTTACAAATTTGTTATGGAGATTGCCAAAGGGGCTACCAATGGATATGTTCCATTTCTGCGATTGAGGCTTCAGTAAATCAAGGTGAATTATTTGTACCTTCGGCTGGTTTACTAAGCGACATCCATTGTTTTTAATCTAACCTCCTTGTTTGTATCTCAGCTCAGTTTCTGTCGTCTTCTTATTAACTCTGGTGAGTTTTATGCATTGTGGAATAGTTAGCGGGTGAGGACTGTGCTTCGGGTGTCTATGGCACAGCATAAATACTGTAAATATGATCAAAAAATTTGCAAGGCTCAAGAGCTGGACAGTATGGTGAGGGACATTTCATTATTTCTTTCTGAATTTTTTTATATACCACAGAAGTGATCTCAGAATTGATATTTTTGTATTAACCCACGGTAATGGCTTCATGGATAACCAAATCCAGATGCTTTTTTTTATATATATATATATTATATATACTGTATATAGCTTTGCTATTGTCATAATAGGTTCCGAATGACACTACATAGAAGCTGAACTGCCACATTCTGCCTTTCGAGATTTCAATACATCGAAGTTTCAACAGATAAATATAACTTTTATCGCATTGTTAAGTTGATGATATTCCTTGTTCACTGAAGGAACAGAATTTCCCTGTCACAGTATTCCATCAGCATTGGTTCCCTGCCATCAGGCACTTATAGTGCAAGACTTTCAAAAGGTCAATTAATAAAAAAAAAACTTTTAAAGTAACTTTCAAAATGATGATGATATCATTGTTTTTTTTTGTGTAAGAAACAAAATCTGTGCATTTTCCTTTCAACCAGATCCAATGGACGTGCACATTATCTTGGACCAATGTTCCAATTAGAACGTGCTGTTTAAGTAATCATTTGTTTATGAGCCACGAACAGATACGGGGAATGTCTCTCCAACTCTCGTATCTCCTGGTTGTCTATTTCGTCACGGTTTATGACTCTCATAACGTTTGGAAAATGCAGATGGAACAAGTCGTGAATCTGAATACGTTTTTACAAAGAAACAACCCCCCCCCCCACCACCCCCCACCTCGCCACCATCTCCCCGTTCTATAACTTTCAACAAAATAGTTTTGTACAAGTTTTAACGCAGCAAAACAAAAATGTTGTTTTAAGCTCCGGTTCCGGTGTTATCATAGAATGAGATTGTCTGTGTTTTTTAAATAAAAAAAAACTCAATAATAATGAACTGACATCGTGCTTTTTTTTTAAAAAAACTTACACTGAATATACAGACCGTTAAAAATAAACACTCCATTAAAAATTAGTCCTAACGTTAACTTAGGGCACAACTGCCTCATCGAATAATGGTGCTTTTTTTTTGTAGGTGGGGGGGGAGAGAGTGGAGGGGGAGGTTGAGGGAGTAATGTTTGTGGGAGACGCATCTTGATAATCTAGTGATAATCTTCTACGTAATAAATCAGACGTGGATCCAATGGCGATGACAAACTCAGACGTTCGCTTTGTTTCACTGGTATTGATGCTTCTGTGCATTCATTGGCGCTGTTAATTTCTCCTGAATGAAAGCACAGCTTCTGAGACGCCGCCCGGTGTGCAGGGCGCTATGTAAAGGGAGTTGTCGTTGTTGTTGTCGTCGCGTATGCTTCACAGACTGAAGTCTCTCTTCGTTCCACCGGGCCTTAACTTGGCACCCAGTTTTTACAGACATTGTACAGAAACGACCGCTTCCCTTTTTTCTTTGGGTGGTAGGAGGCTGTGGTGAAAAGGAGAGCAGGTCAAAGCAACTGCAATCACACGGCTGCACAAACCAAACACGGTTGTGGCAAAGTTACCTGAGCTGAGTGCAGCCCGGAGAGCGTGGCCTACGTTTTCAATCCCATTTGAAATTTTATACACCTCTACGAGGTCCTCTCAAGACAAAAGAGCCCTAGTTTGTCTACTCTTTGCTCGTAGCTCAGTTATCTAACACTGTGGGGGGAAATCATCCTTGTTTCTCTTCTCTGTACTGTCTCTCAGGCCTGGGCAAACCCCCTTTATGTTACTGTGACCAAAAACTGTGTGCCATGTTTATTCCAGGCGAGGAAAACAATGGTAAGAGAAGACAAAGACCTGATCAAGACAGGGGAATGGAAAAACTAATGGAATCAGCTGAAGAAACAGGCAAAAAATAATAATGATAATGTGGTCTCTCAATCCACGACTGTTTGCGGGGACGCTGCTGTGCGCAATTGGCTGCCGCGTTTCGCCCACAAATCTCCGGTCAATTCACTTTACAGTCTATCCTGTGAAGCGCTTTGAGACGTCGTCTCGAAGACGTGATCAGGCGCTGTATCAAATGCCAGGTTTATTATTACTATTATTATTTGTCTCCGCATTCCTGAAGTTCTTGGGCAATTGGTAAGAAACAGCCATGTTTGCCCCAGTACAAAATTATACAACTGAATTTCATATAAATAAAACTTAAAATAAAACAAGGTTTACTCCTTGTTGCAAATACCAATAACAGGTGGGAAAGCTTAAAATTTGCCTGGGAGCAGAACACATTCCTCCCTCGCCCGTCACAGTAAGCTACCAGCTTTCAACGTGCAGTTTAAAAATAGACCGTATTCTATCTTCAGTTTCAGTTCCAGGTATCCACTTTTATACTTAAAAATGTGACATGATTTTAAAGGGATTAACACGGTTTGTGCTTAACACCCGAACAATAGGATATAGATTTATTTGCAACCTGTGTTTTGCTGTCTGAATTGGCCTTGGAGTATTTTTCCAGCTACGAGAGATTTTTACATTACTGGGTTTAGGGTTCCCCAGTGCCCCTGTCTATGTTCAAAGGAATTGAGTCCAAAAGTAATATTACATTTACATAAAGCCTCAGAGCACATTTAGAATAACAATAATAATCCTTGCATTTGACACAGCGCCTTATCGCATCTTCGAGATGTCTCAAAGCGCTTCACGTAAAGTGAAGTGACTGTATAATTTATGGGCGAAAGGTGAGTGAATCATTTTTTTTAAAGGGATTATTATTCCCGGAAAGCGATCCGCCAGTCGACTAACAATCAGGTTCCTATTTACCCCAAGGTAAACAGAGTGTGGAGTAAGAAAACTTGCCTAATGTTCCGCCCTGCTGGGAATCGAACCCAGCTCCTCTCGCTTGCGAGGTGAGTGCTCTAACCACAAAGCTACAGGACTCCACATTTGGAATAAGGTTCGCTGTTCTGGTCACCATAGTCCAGAAAAGATATTGGAGCAATTGAAGGCAGATTTAATAGGATGTTACCAGATATGAGTGGTTACAGCTAGCAAGAAAGATTGAGGGTGAGAACTTTTCTCTCTGGAGATAAGATGATTGAGAGGGGACCTGATAGAGGTGGTTAAAATCATGAAAGAATTCTATAAGGTGAATACAAATGGGATGTTTTGCCTTGTTCACGAATCCATAGCAAAAGGGGGACTTAAATGTAAGATAGGCACTCATAGAAGCAAGAAGGGAGTTTAGGGAGAACTTAATTATTCAGAAGTTGAAGAGAATGTGGGAGAGTCACTGCCGGGAGCTGTGCTTGAGGCAGAAAGCAACAACATATTTTGGAAGAAACCTGATGTGTGCTTGAAGAAGAAGGGAGCAGAGGCGCGTGGGAGACCAGAGAAAGGAGAAGAAGGATTGGAGGCTGATGTGAAGTATAAACGGCAGTGTGGATTAGCTGGGGCTGGAAATATTCCACGCAATTCTAGACATCGCTCGCGCAAGCCGAAATGCATATGCTTCGCCCACAAAATATTACAGTCAATTAATTCACTTTACGCTGCATTCTGTCAAGCGCTTTGAGACGTCTCGAAGACGTGATAAGGCGCTGTATCAAAAAATGCAAGGATTGTTATTATTGCGTCCCGAAGTCGCTATTTGCAATTGTAAACCTGTGTCCTCTTGTTCTACTCTCCAGGTGCACTCCAGAATGAGTATCCTGCGGCTTACGTTTCCAATCCCATTGAACACGATAACTCCCCCTCTAAGGTCCTCTCTGAGATGTCTATATTCCAGACTCAATAGCCCTAGCTTGTCAAATCGTTGCTCACAGCTCGTTCGTTCCTCTAACATTGGGGCCCCTCCTAGTTGCTCGGCTCGAGGCCTAGGAGTGCCCCCTTTACGTTGTGGCGACTTGACTGTCACCACAAAACGCATCTCCAAAGGAGGTGTTGGGATGTCCTCCTGCCCTGAAAGGCGCTACAAACAATGTCACTTGTTGTTGCTGCTGTTGGGTTAGATCATACCTGGCCCAGGAAAGTCATTGCAAGGAGGTCCAACCGATCTGGCCGTGTTGGAGACAAACACGGCGCTGGATATGTACCGTTTGGGAGGCCCCACGTAATCAACGATGTTATAATATCCCGGCCCCAGGGGAGGGGTGTAGCGGAACACCGGGGCTGGAGGAGCAGCGATAGACGATGTCTGCCTTTTCCTGGAACACGCAAGGTGACAACGATATCAAATCTAACATGAAACGTTATATAGAAAACGTGTAGAGATAGGGTAACGGATGGGGGGGCGGAGTGGGACTAGTTGGCAGCTCTTTTCATAGAGCTGGCACAGGCACGATGGGCCAAATGGCCTCCTTCCGTGCTGTAAGTCTGTGATCCCTTAACCATGGGACACGAAAGCGAAGAATTTTACTTCATTCGCCGTGACCCCTGTCATTTTAGGATTGTTGTGAATTATTAATCCAGTCAACACTCCAGTCAGGCCCTTAGATGTAATTCATCCAGCAAGCTGATTTTTTTTTCATCGTCAAATCCCACAGCCAAGATAAGTCTCACGCGAATCGTTAATCCAGTGACGAGCAAAAGGGGATTGGCTTTAAGCGTTGGGAGATGCTGTCCAGCGTAAAAGACGCGAAATAAAGGCAAGTTGCTGTTGCGGTCGTAGCCTTTACGTACCCAGTTGTTGCGACCTTTAGCAGCATGCTGATCGGGGATTTGGGTTCTCGTGGATCATAGGCTGCTGGGCCTGGGGTCATCGTTGGGTCTGCAACCATCTTACGGATTGTCTTGGATTTAAAAGATGAGACGATGGCCTTCGATGATTGTTTTGTCAAAGAATGGTCCACCAAATAGTGACCTAAAATGCGGCAGGGAATCGAAGCGAGATGTTTCTTAGTTAGTTAATTGGTTGTTTGGTTTGTTGGTTGGTTGTTTCGTTAGTTAGTTAGTTAGTTAGTTAGTTAGTTAGTTAGTTAGTTAGTTAGTTAGTTAGTTAGCTAGCTAGCTAGTTAGCTAGCTAGTTAGCTTCCCCCCTGCCCTCCATCCTCCCCCATCCCTTGCGGTGTCCTCCCAATGTGAAAGACACAATACAGATGTAATTTGGTTGTTGTTGTTAGTGGCGAGGCCCAACTTACACAGATATATCAGGGTATTTAGTCCTTGTTTTTGCCCTTAGATAATTATAAGAAATCAGTCTTGTTACACACACAAACCGCTGCCCAAACTCTCATGCCCCCATCCAAAGAAATGTTTTCAGAAGCAAACACAGCGACATTTAAAATGAGCTTGATCAAACTCGTTGTAGGATTGAACATTTGACCCTCACATAAAACCTGGGGCAGGAGGGTAGGAGGGTGACCGAAGGTGCGGTCAAAGAGGCAGGGCTTGAGATGGGCCTTGAAGGAGGCAAAGGAGGGAGGGAGCGAGGCGGAGGGACTGTGGGATGGAGTTCCAAAGGGCGGCAAGCAGAGAGGCCGCCATTGGTGGGGACATCCAAATGTTGCGTTCAACACAGCAGTCTCGTCAATGCATGTACACAAATCTCTCATCGCGAGCTAATTGGCTGCGTTCATGGACTTACAAGGAGATGGTGCCATCACCAGCCCGGACAGAGACAAGCCTCTCTGCGTTTTGGATAAGAACGCAGGTTGAGCGGCGAGATTGTTACTTTTTCCCAACGGAGCCTTCGAAATCTGGGAGAGCACAAGTCAACAATTAGGCTGAATTTGTTCTGTTTACACATTGCCAGTAGCTTTACATTTTGCACCCACTATTGAATAGCGCAGCAATTCAAGGGGACTGATAAGAGCTTTCTTATCAATTAAATGGAGGACAGTTCAGTTGCAATTGTTTTTGGAAGCCAATGCAAGTTGTTATTGTTGTTGTAACAGGGCAGGGCTCAGGAATCTCTCTTCTTTGACTGATCTGTGGAGTCCTGTAGCTCAGCGGTTAGAGCACTCGCCTGACCAGCGAGAGGACCTCGGTTCGATTGTCGGGGAAGGGCGAAACGTTGGGCAAGTTTCCTTACTCCACACGCCACTGTAGGAATCTGGATGTTAGTCGATTGGCGGTGATAATTCCTTCAAAAAAAATAATAATTTGGACACTTAATCCACAAAGCTTTGTAGGACACTGCTTTGCTGCCGCACTTTGCCCACATAATATCAACATATTCACTTTACAGTGTATCCTATGAAGGGCTTTGAGACGACTTGAAGATATGATGAGGCAAGGGTTATCATTATTACTCACATCATATTGGTTGGGTGCAGGTGTTGTGGGAGGAGGCACTGCCATTGCAATTGGTTTCTCAAACATGCTGCTGTGTCCATGGTTGAAGTCCTTCCTCGATATTAATGAGGATGGGATGGTGTAACGGTTTGCTGCTGGGAAGTGGGCGAATTTATTTATTGGTCGATAGGACATCTGAAGACAAAGGAACAAATCTTATTGTAAAAGAAATAAAGAGATCAATGGGGGGACAACACAGGATACCTGTAGACAGACAGTCACGCTCTAGGTTTACGTTCATCATAATAATCCCTTCAAAAATACAGTAAAATGTAAAAAATAATAATTTTAGCGCTCAATCCACGACTGTTTGTGGGAGGGACACTGCTGTGAGCAATTGGATACCACAAAATACAAAGATATTCACTTTACAGTATATTCTGCATTTTTATATTTATATTTTATATTTAAGTATACAATTCAAATGACAGCTTCAGTGTGAGAACGTCTAAGAACTTACTTTGGATGCCAGCCCTCCTGTCCCCCTTTTGGAGAAGGATGGTTTGAGGGTTTCTATCGGACCATGAATAACGTTGTAGGAACCTGGCCCTGGGATTTCAATCTGTGGAAGATAATCAGAGTCACAAGGCTGGTGGGAATCCAGAACAAGGGGGGCAGAGACTTAAAGCTAGAGCGAGGCCACTTAGGAGTGAAACGCTGGGCAAGTTTCCTTACTCCACTCGCCTCTGTTTCCCTAGTACAAAGTCGGAACCCGGTTGTTGGTCGATTGGTGGATCGCTTTTCCTGGGGTAATAATTCCTTCAAAAAATGAAATACTACTAATACGGTCACTCAATTCATGGCTGTTTGTGGGACGCTGCTGTGCGCAATTGGCTGCCGAGTTTCACCCACAAAACATACAATCAATTCACTTTGCAGTATATGTTAAGACGCTTTGAGACGTCTCGAAGACGTGATAAGGGCTACGTCAAAACCAAGTGCAAGGATTATCACTATTCCAGGTATTTATGCTTTACATAAAGATGTCCGTGAGTTTTGTGCTATTCATTCGGTTTCTCAGGTTTCAATGCCTGTCAGAATGGTGTCTTTTCCCCTTCCTATTGAATCTGTTTATTTTTGTTTCGAGAAAAGTGGCTCATAAAGTTTTTCAATAACTTTATCGCTTCCAATACCCTTTGTGCTGTTAGTGAATTCTTGAAACCTCAGCTGTCATTACCGACGGAGAGAAAGCATTGATGTGTGGTAAAAGATCACATTCCTGGAATGAACTCGGCAGCCACACCTCCTGTAATAGTTACTTTACTATCTATCAGTCTGCTAATGGCCAGTGTCCCAGGCTTTATGCTGGAATGTAACCTCTCAACCAGATCACATCTCCTATTTGAAAATAAAAAAAAACGTGGGAAAATTCATTCTCGCCTTCCTGCAAAGAGAAGCAGTTGAATGATGACAGAAATGTTCCAGATATCGGCAACAGATGTTATGAAGGGCAACATTTTTTTTTACCGATGGGACCTTAGCCCAGTAACATTCCAAAGTTTACCCAGCAGTTAAGCAGGAACCCGGCTGTTAGTCGCTTCTCCGGGGCTAATAATCCCTTCAAGTAATCAATTAAAATAAAATAATAACAATTTGGTCACTCAATCGTCCCCGATTGTTTGTGGGGAGGCTGCTGTGTGCAATCGGCTGCCGCATTTCGCCCACAAAATACACGGACGATTCACTTTACAGTATATTCTGTGAAGTCTTTTGAGACGTCTCGAAGACGTGATAAGGCGCTGCAACAAATGCAGGGATTATTATTATTTGTATGTGAATCTGTTTAAAAGAAACACAGCGCAAATGCTGATTTGCAATGCGACTCAATATTAGGTTAAACTTGCTTAAACTCGTGAATGTCAAATCTTGTCTTCTCTCCAATTTCCAATGCAAAGACAATCTACTGAATTGAGTTATTAGTACAAATCACTTGGATACTGTCATGAGGTATTGCCCCTTGAATGTTGATGCTTTATTGAAATAGGCTCCTCAGTTCGCTCCACCTGTGGTAGATTTCACCACCTTGTGGCTCATCCAAGAACTGATGACATCTATCCCCATCTGCATTGACATTAAAAGCAAAATACTGCAGATGCTGGAAATCTGAAATAAAGACAGAAGTGCCCGGGAACACTCAGCAGGTCAGGCAGCATCTACGGAGAGAGGAAAGTGAGTCAACGTTTCCGGTCGATGACCTTTCGTCAGAAAGTGTCCTGCTCTGACCTACTGAATGATCCCAGCGACTTCTGTTTTTATTTGTGCTTATTTCTGTGAATCATTTGGAACCAAAGCGTTCGGCAGAAGTATGTGTTGAAGGTGTCTAGATTGATTGCAAGTGTAATGCGAATATATCGGTTACATTTCGATACCAAGGGCTGCCTTTTCTCTGGTCTTAATCAAATAAAATCCATATTTAAATTGTTCGGTGAACGCTACAAGAATTTGCTCACCTGCTTCATGTAATTATCAAACCTTTTGGCTTGAGAACCAAACCCTCTCTTCTCCGAGTTGTCGATCACCACTGTTTGATACTTGGTAGGGATTGAAGAGACGGTCGTCATCTTAGAGGTGCCCGATTCTACGACAAAAGCAGAGAAGTCAATAAATAAGACAAAACAAAATATACAGTCAATTCATTTTACAGTGTATCCTGTGAAGCACTTTGAGACGTCTCGAAGACATGATAAGGCACTATATCAAATGCAAGGATTATTATTATTATTATTATTATTATTATTATTATATCCCACCCAAGGGCATCATCTGCAATTTTCACACATTGAGTCTGTGATGTTAAGGATGGCTTTCGGTGGCCGATCAGTTGAGGATCTCACATTGACGGTGACACAGAAACAGGCTGTGACCGATGATCTCGAACTCTGTCGACGTGGGATTCGCAATTTTTCCAAATTTTCACGAAACTGCAAGTCACAATTAACGCATTCTGCACCCGTGGCTGAGCTTTCAGATTCTACAGCCTGACCCTTTGGAATTCCCTTCCTCCCTCCTTCCCTCCCTCCCTCCGCACCTCCGTCACCTCTCCACCCATCTTCAAATCCCGCTTTGAAACTTATCTCTTCGACCACAATTATGGTCACCTCCCTTTTCCATCCCCCTACTCCCCACCCCCACCCCGCTCGGCATCTGACCCAGTCAATGTAAAGCACTCAGTGATGTTATCCTACGTGAAGGGTGTTACATAAATGCAAGGAGCTTGTTGTTGTTGATGTTGTTGTTAAAACTATAGCTCTTTTACAGTGCTTTTGGTCAACGTTCATCAAATCTCTCTGTTATTCCTGCTTCAGGCTCCCTCCCCGTCATCTCTGTGAAGTGCTGCAAAATGTTCACCCTACGTGAAAGCCCACATTGTCGTCGTTCATGCTGTTGCTCTATCAAAATCATGTACAAACGACGTCTAGCTTGCTCACAGTCAGTCAGTCAGATGCGCAATGGGCCAATTAGAACGACAAAAACATTACATTCCTATCACTGAGCTGGAATTTTGCTCTTTCCGGAGTGAAAAACATGGGCATTTCAAGCAAGAAACATTCTTAATTCTTAAGCTGCTTACCAATGGAGTAGATCCTTTTACCTGCAAAGAAAACACAAGACGGTAAATATTAACGGCGCAGATGAATATCAAATTCACATTTCACAAGACGATTAGGAAGAAAAGGAAGAAGGAGAACAGCAGCTCCCTGATAACATGAAACCGTTCGGCGTAATGAGCCAAGAAAAAGGTGAACTCTGATGGCAACGATGGTCTACTTACTTTTATAGGATGCTCTCAATTTGAAGCGTCCAGTATCTTTGCTACAGTTTTTTGGTTGAATGGGTGTTGCAGGCTGGTATCCAGTGGGAGTAACAGGATGCATGTCTTACAGTTGTGGGCATCCTGTTTGCATGCAAACAAGATACAGGTAGAACGGTTCAGTTGGTCTCCGCCACTCGCTATCTGTTTGAAACGAATAAGATTTAATAAGCTTCCAGTTGAAATAGGCATTAAGGCAATGCTCCCATCAATTCCTCTGCAGGATGGTATGGAGAGATCAAACCAAACACTGAACAATACTGGAAATCTTTAAATCAAATCATATTTGTTTCACCAAAACCCGTAAAGACGCACAATGTCAATCCAAATCTGAATTATTGCTTCAGTTAAGATTTACCTGCAGCGTGTTAGTTAGAGCACTCGCCTCGCAAGCGAGAGGACCCAGTTCAATTCCCGGGCAGAGCTAAACCTTAGGCAAGTTTCCTTACTCCACACGTTTCTGTTTCCGTAGTAGTAAGTAGGAACCCAGTTGTTAGTCGATTGGTAGATGGCTTTCAGGGGGTAATAATCCCTTGTTTTAAAAAAAAGTGGTCACATAATCCACGACTGTTTGTGGGGACGCTGCTGTGCGCAATTGGCTGCCGCGTTTCGCCCACAAAATATACAGTCAATTCACTTTACAGTTTATTCTGTGAAGCGCTTTGAGACGTCCTGAAAATGTGATCAGGCGCTATATCAAATGCAAGGCTTATTATTCTTACATATTAATTTATCGTACAATTTGATACAAATGCCCCAACCCCAGCTACGAAGAAATCAAAGCCAGCAACGATAGCTCTCAATACAATATCTCCGACTTAATGACTTTACTACACAAGAGTTAATTGCATAAAAGCCCAATCATCCTGATCTTTAATGAGTACCAGATGTGATTATTGTTCTCAGAGGATGCAATGTTCCTTTCATTCCAACATATTTTATTGTTTGGTGTTTGTCAATCTCAGGTAGTTTAAGACATGAATGACTTTCTTCTCATTTTACGATCCAAACCCGTTGCTTTTAGCGCTTTAAAGGGGGAAATGAAAAGCCAGGCAATTTGCCAATGACGGAATCATCTCAGCCAAAAGGAGTTTCACGTTGGCAAGTGATGTCGCTGTTTCGTTTTACTTAATTTCTGGCCAGCCGGGCGGGTGTCTGACACACGCAGAAACCCATCACCCTTGCTTAAGGGTCTCCAAACCCAACTGAGAATTCCCCGCAGCGCGTCTACACGTGGAAATCCCAGAGAGAGATCGTTGGAATGGAATGTGCTCTCTCTCTCTCTCTCTCTCTCCCTGGAGGAACGTATCCTGCGTACCTAATTCCAGAAGCTACTGGTGGAAAAATACATGCAAGAATTGACAAACCACAAGAGGGAGCAACGCACCAGGTCTGATGTTAGGATTATGACCATTCATTGTTACCTACATTCTTAGCCTCCTGAATGAGGACTCTTTCTAAGATTTCTGACCGCGGTGAGTAACCGAGAAGAAGCCTGTGTGCATGTTCAATCTTTTGATAGCAATTGGCCCAGGATTTTAAAGATTTTTCGTTGTGAAGTCCTGGGCGTTGTGTTTGAAGCACTCGGGTGTGTGAGAGCAGGAGATCTCGGAGAGCACTGAGCAGTGCTTTCTGACGAGGGGAATGGGAATTGTGCCAGTCACAAAGAGTGGGACTTGGAGCAAGCCAAAGTTTAAAATAAACAAGCAAAGCCGGCAGACACAGGAAACAAAAGCGTTGAGTGTGACTGAGAAGAGAGAGAGAGAGAGAGACAGTCAGCCGGGAACTTTCATCAGTTGGAAGAGCAAGGAAAGGGAGATGAGGCCTAAAGGCCTAAAGCCTGGTTCAGTGTTGTCATGCTATGGCAAGACACAGCACAAAGGCTGAGCAGCTGAAGAAAACGGACGTTGTCGGCTGTTTGCGAAAAAAAAACAAAGCCACAAAACCGCCGGAATGAAAAGGATTTGGAGAAGAACAAAACAAATAGAAAGACAAATTAAGCTCAATATTTCTCTTGCATTGATCTCGCTGCTGCTCAGATTGCATTTTGACACTTGTTTTTCTTTCTTTCTCTCTCTCCCCGGAAGAAGTTCAAGACAGCACTTTGAACAACTGAGTAAAAGTGGAAGGTGACAATAGGAAAAAGTGGGTGTCGCAGGGAAAAAAAAATGACGAGGGGGGAAAAAATACTACGGCGCATTTAGCCATAATAATGGTGGAAAATCTATTTGGGTAGACAATTGAGAAACTGGGTATAAGTTGACAGTGTGGTGCATCGATCTTCCTGGTAACTCCAACTCTGCATGTGATTTAATATAAATAATAAAATATTAATAAAAATAAGAAGGATCTCTACTCTCTAAGTGAGATTGTGCTAATAATTATTGCTTATAAGCAGAAAAATGCTGCAAGATATGTGATACAAAGGTAGAAAATCTGCTTCTTACTGTCTCTATAACTATAGCTATGTGATTGATGAGTGACACTGCAGGATGGAAGCCTCGTAACTTAGTGGTTAGAGCACTCGCCTCGCAAGCGAGAGGCCCTGGGTTTGATTCCCGGCAGCGAGAAACGTTGGTCAAGTTTCCTGATTCCACACGCCTCTGTTTACCCATCAGGAAGTAGGAACCCGGTTGTTAGTCAATTGGCGGATTGCTTTTCTGGGGGTTATAATCCCTTCAAAACGGAACGAACAAATAAATAAGTAAGAAAAATAATAATATTTTGGTCACTCAATCCATGCACGACTGTTTGTGGGGACGCTGCTTACGCAATCGGCTGCCAAGTTTCGCCCACAAAATCTACAGTCAATTCACTTTGCAGTAAATTCCGTGAAGCGCTTTGAGACGTCTCGAAGACATGATAAGGCGCTGTATCAAATGCAAGGTTCATCATTATTATTATTATTATTATTATCCTGCTGTCTTACTCTTTGCAGTGTAGGGCAGATAGAGTAATACGTTACTGAGTAGAAACAAGGCTTGGCTTGAATGGTAGAGAAGATGAGCTACAGATTTGTGAATAGTCAGCCGCTGGTGAGGGAGTCGAGTGAGGAGGGCATTGCAATTGTCAAGTCTGGATGTAATGAACAAGAGTTCAAGCAGCTCAAGGGAAGAGATAGCAGCGGAGGCGGGCAATGTTGTAGAGGATATACTATAAATTGGATTGATTGTGCATTTTGTGGGCAAAGTGCGGCAGCCAGTGGCACACAGCAGTGTCCTACAGACAGTGGGGGATTGAATGAATTGCATTTTTTTTAAAAATGATAAGATGCTTCGTGTAAAATCGTCGCCATCCAAATTGAAACGTAGTCAGTGCGTTTGATTGGCAAATTTTCTTTTTTTTCCCCCTGAAAAAAATACTGGGGTCAAACTGGTGACAGTTGCTCTTACCTGTCTCTCCTTCTCTCCCTCCCTCCCTCCCTCCTTCTCTCCCCCTCTCCCTCCCTCCCTCCTTCTCTCCCTCTCTCCCTCCCTCCTCTCTCCCTCCCTCCTCCTTCCCTCCCTCCTTCTCTCCCTCTCTCCCTCCCTCCTCTCTCCCTCCCTCCCTCCCTCCTCCTCCCTCCCTCCTTCTCCCTCCCTCTCTCTCTCCCTTCCTCCCTCCCTTCTTCTCTCCCTCCCTCCATCTCTCCCTCCCTCCATCTCTCCCTCCCTCCCTCCCTCCTCCCTCCATCCATCTCTCCCTCCCTCCCTCTCCCTTCCTCCCTCCCTCCATGTCTCCCTCTCTCCCTCCCTCTCTCCCTTCTTCCTCCCTCCCTCCTCCTCCTCCCTCCCTCCCTCCCTCCCTCTCCCCCCCCCCTCTCCCCCCCCCACTCTCACCTGCTTGTCCCAAGGATCCACTTCATTCCACGGGCAACACAGTTGTTTACACCGGTCGCCAGGGCAACGGCCCAGCCGTTGACCGACGGGTCCGCCGGCCAATCACGGAGCGCTTCCGCGCTGCGTTGACGCCGGCTGCGCCAATCGGTGAGCGCGGAGGGCGGGGCTTGTAGCTGGCCCGCCCACCCACTCTCACCACGTGTGTGTTGTGTGCGTTGTGTGTACAATCTCATGGCAATTGATTTAAAGGTCCCACGAATGAGGTCAAAGAGCAAATGAGAGCTCATGGATGAGGACTGAAGGCAGTTGCTGTCCCTGGAATGTTATTTGTATTTTTTGTGACCTGACCTGCGAGCGGGAGGGCATTTGGTTGAAGTTTTCTGTGTTTCTCGGGGTATATATCGGATGTATAACCGTACAATCATAGCATTATACAGCTCAGGAGGAGGCCATTGGGCCCATTGGGTCTGCGCCGGCTCTTTGGAAAGAGCTACCCAAGTCAATCCTGTTCCCACCCTCTCTCTCTTTCTCTCTCCCCCCGTAGCCCTGCAAACTTGTTCTCCCCAATAATAATAATAATAATCCTTGCATTTGATATAGCGCTTTTCACGTCGGGAGGACATCCCAAAGCGCTTCACAGAAAACACTGTAAAGTGAATTGACTGTATATTTGTGGGCGAACGCAGCAGCCAATTGCGCACAGCAATGTCCCACAAACAGTCGTAGATTGAAAATGACCAATTTATTATTGTTTTTGGTTTTGGAGGATTATTATTAGGCTCTGTGTGGAGTAAGGAAACTTGCCCGAGGTTTCGCCCTCTGCCTGGAAATGAACTCAGGTCTCTCACTTGCAAAGCGAGTGCTCTAACCACTGAGCTACAGGACTCCACAACAGTTTTCCTGTTGGGTCTAATTTAATGTGTGGCTCTGATGGTAATAACCCTTTGAGGCACTCATTGACTTGCTGAGGCGGGACTCACATGAGTGATGTGTCAGTCACACATTGGGGGAAACTTTAAAAAGACTGAGTGCCTCTGTGCTGCTCAGTACATAGAGATTAGTGCTCTGGTTAGTGTTGTTTTAAGTTGCTAACCTTTTACTCAATTGTAAAATGTTGCTCTCCCAAACCGTCGTGTCTCAGCATAACTCTGCAAGTTCTCTCTCGGAAGATAAAGAAAACAGGGTAAAGGTGGATTTTCCCAATAAGTCTATGTAATGTATAATAATAATCCTTGCATTTGAAATACTGTCTTATGTTGTTGAGATGTCTCCAAAGTGCTTCACAGAGTATACTGTAAAGTGTGTATTTTGTGTGTGAAACTATGAAAATTGCAACGAAGCAATGCAACTGGGCATCTGCTTATTTTAAAGAAAACAAAGAGTTGATCAGTGTGTGTTTGCAATGGGAAATGTAATTTAGTTGTATTTACTTTTTTAAAAAAAGTTTGTTTTTCAGCCCCCAGCTATGAATGTGACTCAGGCTCTGCTGTCCAAAACAGCTCGCAAACTTCAAGGAGCTGTAAGTTGTAATAATAATTCTTGCATTTGTTATAGTGTCTTATGTCATTGAGACTAAACTAATAATAACTCTACGATCTGGCTTAACTCATCACTGCTACTTAAGTTATCTTGCTGTCAATGTCCTGGCTGTGGTTATTTAGTTTTTAATTTTTTTTTATCTATTTATACATCTGCTTGACTTGCCACTTTGGATAACTCGTTGCTGAACTCCTTTTCCCTTGGAGTGACCAGTCATCAGGAGTTTACTTGACCCATTAAGTTCCAGCAGAAGCCTAATGGGCCTAATGGGCTGCCACTGTCTGATAGTGAATTGTTAAGGTATTAATTGATCAGCTGCAACCAGTTGGAGACGATGGGAACAGCAAACAATCCCTTGTGTGGAGTTGCCTTTGGTGGCCTGACTTGTCCATTGCATTGTAGCCTTCAGAAACCTTCTCAGAATTGATTGCAAAATCAGGGCAGTGAGGCCAACAGTTTCAGTTCTTATAATAATAATAATCCTTGCATTTGATATAGCGCTTTTCACATCTTCTCGATGTCTTAAAGCGCTTCACAGGATATACTGTAAAGTGAATTGACTGTATATTTGTGGGCAAAATGCGGCAGCCGATTGCGCACAGCAGCGTCCCCACAAACAGTCGTGGATTGAAATGACCAATTTATTATTTTTTTTTGAGGGATTATTATCAGGCATGTGGAGTAAGCAAACTTGCCCAAGGTTTCACCCTGTCGGGAATCGAACCCAGATCTCTCGCTTGCAAAACGAGTGCTCTAACCATTGAGCTACAGAACTTCTTATGATGCTCTCCGGCCTCTTGCTATCTACTATTATATAGTGCGTTCTGTATTTTCTGTGTGTGTGTGTTTTAAGCGCTCTGGAACCCTACCCTGCGTGAGTCGCGTTATGTAAATAAATGCGTAGTTGTTGTGTTCCAAATTCTTTTGAACATTGAGGATTTGCCACGCGAGTTTTGACTGCGAGAGCGAAAGAGAAACCAAGTCTTGGTGTGTGCGTTTCCTTGTTCTTATTTGCCGAATAAACCATTCAGTAAAAGTTTGATAAAACCTGGTGTTTTATTGCAGGCCAGCCTGGAAGGTCAACGGGAAGGGGCAAACGTGCAGGATGAGCCTCTTCTCCGGGAAAACCCCCATCGGTTTGTGGTCTTCCCAATCCAGTACCACGATATCTGGCAGATGTACAAGAAGGCGGAGGCATCGTTCTGGACAGCTGAGGAGGTAACTGCTGATAGACAAAGAATTGGTGGAGTTGATGTTCCGGGTCTGCAGGTCAGAGATGGTTCGGGATTTAGGTTTAACAGCTAGCGTGTTCTTATGTTGACGGACGAATCCTCTTATCAATGTCTGACCATGTATCTTGCTCTCAGAACCAGTAGTTGTCCATTGGAAGCTTGAAGATTTATAGTTCCTTTAGCCGTACCCTCCTCATGACCTTGGACCTATTGTCCAGTTAATCATTTCGTTTCCTCCATAAAGCAATTCAGGCCAGTTGGTCTTTGTGGAGTCCTGTTGTTTTACAACCATTCCCTTGTTTGAAAGTTCCTGTCCTCAAGGTAGGAACCTGTTTCTTGGCACATCCAAGAAGTAAAAGTGTGAATAGCTGAAGACTATCTATTCATCTTTGGTCTTTGTTTTGTGATCTGACCTTTCGTGACAATGGTTAGTGATGTGTGTCCAAACTGGGAAGGAGGATGTTGACAACGTTCAAACACTTCATGCTGAGCTGTTTGCTGCTTGGGACATCCTCCCAACGTGAAAGGCGCTATACAAATGTAATTTTGTTGTTGTTGCTGATCAGGAAACCCAGAGAGTTTTAGATACCTGTCGTCCACTGCAATTTGGCTGCTACATTTCGCCCACAAAATGCACAGTCAATTCACTTTACAGTAGAATAATAAATAATTATAATCCTTGCAATTGATACAGCGCCTGATCACGTCTTCGAGACGTCTCAAAGCGCTTCACAGGATATACTGTGAAGCGAATTGACTGTAGGTTGTGTGGGCGAAATGCGGCAGTATATTCTGGGAAGCGCTATGCCCCATCTTGAAGACGGGACAAGGCACTATATCAAATTCAAGGCTGATTATTATGATATCACTGGTGCGCTGGCTGTTTTCTAATCTGTAAGGAATCGCTCGTCATACAAGGTGTGTTTATGCTGCTTCATGCGGTTAGAAACGCACAAGGTAAGTGGTGTTTACTTCACTAAGGCTTCCAAAAATAGAATTTCTCATTGCTTTGTTTTTCCTCCCTAGGTAGACTTGTCAAAGGATTTGGTGCACTGGGAATCCCTAAAAAAGGATGAAAAACACTTCATTTCGTACGTCCTGGCATTCTTTGCTGCCAGCGATGGAATCGTCAACGAGAACCTGGTATGCTCTTGATGGATCTTCAAATCAATCATTCTGTCTAACTTCCCCCATTTCTGCCCTCCTCACCTCCTGATTCCAGCCCTCAGCTCGGGTCCAAACTCCTGACTGTCCAGCACCTTGGGACGTCCTCACAACATGAAAGGTGCTGTTAAAATGTAAAGTGTTGTTGTTATTCCCACACTACTGCCTCTATCGTTGGTTTAAACATGAAAAACAGTGAACAGTAGTAGTTTTAATGGAAGCCAAAATAAGATTAGGCTCCAGAAGTGAAGTGCTTGTCTAATATTCGGATGCATGTCATTGAGCACATTCATATGTAGCAAGGGTTATTAACTCTGTGGGGAAAAAAACAGAGTACTTGTAAAGTGAACTAAATTGGTCAACGTAATATTGGAATATTTTGTCCTTGAATTGTTGTGATTCCAACGTTTTTTATTCGCCCACAGAATAGACAATTCACTTTAGAGTATATTCTGTGAAGTGCTTTTTTGGGCGTCTCGAAGATGCGATAAGGCACTATATCAAATGCAAGGATTATTACAGCAACAAAATTACATTTGTATAGTGCCTTTCACATCGAGAGGACGTCCCAAGGTGCGGGGATAATACTATTATTATTATCATCATCATTATTATAAGATATTATATATGCACACATCAAGATCATATGACTGTCCTGTTCTCTTCAGGTGGAACGTTTCAGTCAGGAGGTGCAAGTGACGGAAGCCCGTTGCTTTTATGGTTTCCAGATTGCCATGGAGAACATTCATTCAGAAATGTACAGTCTCCTTATCGACACCTACATCAAGGATCCCATTGAGAGGTGAATACGCCCAGGGTGGATGACTGAATTGTGTGTGAGAGAGAGAGAGAGCGAGAGAGACTGGTTCATTAACGCAGCCCAAATCTTGAGTGTTGCAAAATTGTTAGTTGTCAGTGAGATCTGTTCCATTACTGTCTAGGTGAAGTTGATCTAACTGAGTGAGTGTTACCTTTCAGGGAATTCTTGTTTAACGCCATTGAAACCATGCCATGTGTTAAACAGAAGGCTGTCTGGGCTTTGGCTTGGATCGGTGACCGAGAATCCGCCTTCGGTGAGTGCTTTACCTTCTCGCAGTTTACAGACTCTAAAAAGCTCTCTGGCTTCAAACGTGCACAGGTTATAAAAGCGAGCCTGTTATACTTGTAAGATCAAGGACGTGGATGTGTCCCAGTGTTCCATTAATCAAGCTTTATCCTAGAGGAAATGAAACCGCATTAAAAGCTAATCCTTTTAATTTGTCTCATTGGTGCAATAAAGCTGGGGTTCTCTGTGTGGGGTGGAGGAGGTGGGGGTGGGGGCACCTGCACAAGTGCGTTCTGCCTCTAAAGGTTTCTTTTCCCAAAACTCTGGAACTCTATCCCTCCATCTTGCCCTTTCTTTCCCCATCTTCAGGTCGCGCCTGAAGACCTTCGTCTTCGGCCGCGCCTATGGTCACCTCCCCCCCCCCCCCCCCCGGCTCAGCGTTGTGCTCTGGGACGCTATCCTGTGTGAGGGGCAAGTTGTTTGTTGTTGTTGTTCGGTTGAGAGAACGTTTGCTCAAGTGAAATGCATGGATTGCGTGACTTGTTTTCAGGAAATGATGAGTCTTGAGGTGCCTGCCAATTTTGCAGCTCAAATAATGAGAAATATTAATTTTGTTACTTTATCCCCCTCTCTCGCTCACGCCCAGGAGACCGACTGGTAGCTTTTGCTGCTGTTGAGGGGATATTTTTCTCAGGATCATTCGCTGCCATTTTTTGGCTGAAGAAACGAGGGCTAATGCCAGGCCTTACCTTTTCCAATGAGCTGATCAGCAGGGATGAAGTAAGTGCAGGAAAATCTCCTGGCGTTGATGCTGTCTGGACTCTGGAGTTAGCTTGGAGTTAGTTCTGGATTCTCCCGCCCACCAGAAGAAATAGTTTCTCTTAAAAGTTGGATGATCGAGTATAATACTTCACTGAATCTGAAGCACAGAGGCTCATGTGCAGTGAGATACTTGGTTCCAGCAACAAACTGGTGATGGGGCTAAATAACTTGGTGCACCTGCTGTGAAGAAGTTGTCAAGTGAATTGCTTTTCACTGTTCCTAATGAGTTCAACTTGAAAGGATGCGTTTTTGTCCAATTTAAATGCATTGACTTGTGCAACGGAGGGGATGTTCAGTGCAGTTTTAAAGTAATGCAATGTATCCTAGCTTATAGGAGAGTCAATCGGATATTTGCTGTAGTTCTGTGCTTGCAACATCTCAAGTAGTGTATATTAACAGGCAGGACTGTTGATTTGCGGTTGGGATAATCTTGAACATTGATCAATGTCCGTCTCACTTCATCCCGGCCACAAAACCGCCCTGTGACGAGGAGAAGGTCCATTTTCATTAGACAAAAGTTAAACATGAAACTTTTTGTTTGTGTGTTTGTTTAACTTGTTTGATTTGAAATCCTGGTACGAATCTCACTCTGGTGTTTCCACTCCCAGGGTCTGCATTGTGACTTTGCCTGTCTTCTATTCAAACACTTGGTTCACAAGCCTTCGGAACAGAGAGTTGGAGCAATTATCACCGAAGCTGTGAGGATTGAACAGGTAAAGGCCCATTGGCGTAATGTGTTTAAGATCTCTGTGCTTTATGGCAATATACACAGTCATCTTGAAATGAAGCTATAGGATGTAGCATCTTAGTTTATTTAGGCCATGTTCAACCTTCGCCTGTTGAATGTCTTTTTCACAGGAGTTCCTGACTGAGTCTCTGCCTGTGGACATGATTGGCATGAACTGCACCCTAATGAAGCAGTACATTGAGTTTGTGGCTGACAGACTGCTGCTAGAGTTGGGTTTCAGTAAGGTTGGTATTTCCTCATGTCCTAGTCTGACAGTGGATTGTCCTCTTAACGAAACAGATACCATCTTGATAGCCAATTGTCCTCCCTCACCTCCTTCAAGGCCCGTCTCAAGACCCTCCTCTTCGACCGCGCCTTCGGTCACCCTTCTACCCCCACCCTCCCCGCCCTCCACCCCTCCTGATCCCAACCTCCAGCTCGGGTCCAAATCCCTGGATGACTGTCCAGTGCCTTGGCACTTCCTCCCCTGTGTAAATGTAATGTGTTGTTGTTGGCGATTGCATTTTCAACATTTTCAAGCACTTTTACCTGGTCACTGAGACAGGAGGCCTTATTTTGGTTTAGAAAAAGGAATCTCGTCGTGGGAGAGGGTAACAGAAGGAATGTGCGGGCAGTTTTCTCTGAATTCTTTGCTACAAGATTGGTTTGGATGAAGAAGGCCATTTAGTCCATTTTGATCTCATCGCTCTAGAATGCCCACCCTGTGCTATACCTATTATTATTTTCACTTCAGATATTTGGAGCAGAAAATCCTTTTGACTTCATGGAGAACATTTCTCTGGAAGGGAAAACCAACTTCTTTGAGAAGCGAGTTGCTGAGTATCAGAGGATGGGGGTAATGTGCAAAGCAGAAGAAAACAGCTTCAGATTGGATGCTGATTTTTAAAGGTTGCACGGTTATCAAATGGAAAGTTTTTTTAAAAATGATGTAACACTGCCCAAAATAAGCTAAACCCAGAGATTTTCTTGTTTGCTTACTTGAAAGTCAAACATCCTCCGTTAAATCAGTAAAGCTGCTCACAAATGCACAGTATTGCACAAGTTCTCTACCAGAGAGATGATGTCTTTGATCTTTAAATGTTTTTAAAGGGAGAGAGAGAGAAATGACGCAAAACCGCAAAATATTTATTGGCAATTTCCATTTAACCCAGGATTGGTCATGAATTGTATTTTTATATTCATAGCCCAAATTTAAACCTATGAATTACTTGTTAATTTTTTTTCCAATAGTATTGTTCTATTGTGTAGCTTCTCTGTCGTATATTACATAGGAAAAACAGTACTTTTCTGCGTCCATGTTCCATTGGGGAGGGAGAATCAACCAATTGTGGGAACCACCTGCATACAAATTCAGTGGTCTCCACCTAATGCGCCTGACAATCTGGTGCTGACGAATTGTTAGCCCCAGAATGCAGTTTGTGTGTGCAATTCAATTTAAGCTCTTTCCTCCCCCTCTCCCATCACCCTATACATGGATTGCAGTGAGATGCTCCAGGTACAAACCCAGCACAGCTGTGCCTACTATAATTGACAGATTGAGTAAAAGTGCAGGTAATGGATTTCTACAGGTCACGTTTCCAAAGAGACCTCCGCACTGCTAGGCCAGGATTCGAGTATGTTCTTCCAATTCTTAACGCAATAGGATGTGAGGGTGAGTGAATGTTTAATGATTCTGTTATTTGTTCACTTTCCCCCCACAAATATATTCTTTGTTGTTTGGCGGAAACCTGTTCTGTAGTTTTTAGTGTGATGAGAGATTAGGTTCTTTGACTAGCTTAGTGCTGGAATAAGTCTGCCTTTACTTAGAGTCAACTTCTAACAGTAGCTATTTAAAAGTTTAGATCTTTGTAGAGTTTTAGGAAAGCTCTGCCTAGTTTTGATGCATTATTTGGGTAACTTTTTAATCAACGGAATCATTGTTATTTGTATTTATTTACCAATAAAATAAAGGATGAATCATACATTGTCCTAATTCTCAAATACTAACTATTTACAGAGTTCCAGCACTGTTGTCTTTCGACATCCCTTTGTATTTTAAGTTGTCCTATTACCTTTCAAAATTTAACGAGGATTTTTGTAGGGGTAAACATTCCTTGAGCTGGGGGGCNTTTTTTTTTTCTCTCTCTGTCTCCTAGCCTTTGTTCCTTTTTTATTTTTGGAGTCCTGAAGGGTATTGGTTAAAGCACTCGCCTCGCAAGCGAGAGGACCTGGATTTGATTCCCGGGCAGGACGAAACATTAGGCAAGTTTACTAACTCCACACGCTCCTATTTAGCTAGCAGTAAGTAGGAACCCTTTTGTTAGTTGATTAATCCCTTAAAAAAATAATTTGGTCATTCAATCCACGATTCTTTGTGGGATGCTGCTGTGCGCAACTGGCTGCCACGTTTCTCCCACAAAATATACAGTCAATTCACTTTACATCATATTCTGTGAAGTGCTCTCAGAAGTGATAAGGCGCTATATCAAGTGCAAGGCTTATTATTATTATTATTATGGAGTCACAGCTCAGTCTACTGAGATGATTGATTGGTCCTGTCTTCGCACTGCAGAGTTAATTTTTCATCAGCAATTTAAGGCCTTTAAGCAGAGGACATAATTAAGCTCCCGTCGAGATTGAGAAAAATTGTTTGTGATATTTTTCAGTATAGATGTGCAGTGATTTCCATATATATTGCAATCTGAAGCTGTTGTGATGGTGCTGCCCGCTTTATCTTTCTCGTTGACATATGAGTCATTTAGAGAGCATTTCATTGATTTTTTTTATATATATATAAATGGGTTTCTATTCTAAAATCAGCAGTGCAGATATGATTGTCTTGACAAGGTCCCTCGCATCCATTTCCTGAGATATAACTGATAATTTAGTGAGTGTTGTAGCTGGAGAAAATAACTTTTTGGGATACAGGGAAATCTCAGTTTGGTTTGGATATTCTTAAGCACAGTGATCGGTTTCCACGTGTGTCAGACACCTGACTGACCAAATAAAACAAAAAAAATCTATAAATCCCACCTTAAAATCTACCTCTTTGAGCGAATATTGCAACACGTCCCCAGTACTTCAAGTGTGAGCCTAAACTATGAGTTCAAAGTCCCGACTTGGGGGCTACAATCTTTTGGCTCCCGGGTGAGTGTGCTACCAACTGAGCCAGGATAACACCTCTCTGTATTATCTCATCCTTTTCATTTGTTTTCCCCACCCCAAGGTCCCCCCGCTGCTTCTAATCTCTTACAGATCCTCAATCCCCTGCCTTGCTCACTTTCAATCTCTGGATTTATTGCTTCATCGGATTCATTTCATCCCCTCACAGTTCAAATAACCATTTGGATGAGCCTTAAAATTGTTTGATTCTTCACAGACTTTTTACTGCTCAGCAGTGAGTCACTTTACAAGATATTGTCCAGCGCTTATGAAAGGGATTGATTTTTTTCTTTTTTTTCGCAGTCTATTATTTCCTATTTCCTCTGTGTGGGGGGAGCTGGGTGGGGGTGGGAAGCTGCTGTGACAGATCCGATGTCAGTGAGCTGATGAAAATTGTAGCTGAAGTATTTTGTGATATGATTCTACAGAAATGGTGTACAAGGGAGGTCAAGTAAGCCATTTGCTTATTCCAGGATTACATTGGAAGCAAATCCCTGAGTGGTTTTACCCTGTGATTCAATATCCACTACTCCAAATAAGACCCTTAACTTGGACCCTAAATCGCATTAGGGTGAGGGTGTGTATATGAGCGTCTGAAATGTCAGTTTGCATAATTTATAACCAATTTTTAGCCCAGTTGCTGATGCTGTGACTGCAAACTGTCACTCAACATCGGAAGGGAAAGATTTGTTGATTGAATAACTGTTCCAATAAGGAACTTGAGAGATTAAGGGATAACCTTAACCATATTGTAGGTTTAGAGCCTTAGAGGTCGTCTAAGCATTCTTAAATTGGGAACGATCCAACCCCTGGAGTGGCTGAGCAAATTGAAGTGAGACTCACAGACCCCAGTCCCTCTTAAAGAAAGATTGCAAATTTATGATTTATTTGTTTATTGCCCTGTGTCTGACACGTGCGGAATCTCATCACCGTGCTTGAGAGTATCCAGTCCTCAAATAGAGTTCCATCTACACGTGGACATTGCTGTGTAGATTACAGTTCACTTGCCTTGCTGGTTGTCGGGAGTTGCTATTTGTGATTCTTGTTCTACCACATCTTTGAACTACTGTACAGAACTACAGTATATCCTGTGAAGCGCTTTGAGACATCTCAAAGGTGCAGTAACAAATGCCAGGAGTATTATTATTATTGCTGGGTATTTTTGATTCACAGCGATGTGTTTTAGTAACTTCAATATCAATGCTGTTCACACGCACTCGCAGTGTTTTCTCTAGAATGTGTTTCAAACAGCGTCTTGTAGCTGTACTGATGTGTTCCTTATTAATAATTCAATGCTCAAACCGTGCCAAAACCGTGGAGAGCTCCCAATGCATCAGTGAGTTTGAAAATGTCAATACTGTTCACAAACATTCCCACAACTTGATTCCTCTTGACCAACACTCCTGAAACTAAGCACCCAACAAACCTGATTTATCCCAATTTTCAGGACTGAAGTTAGCGCAGATATCCTGCGACATTGGCTGTGCGTCACGATCAAATGTATTTGCTTTGTGTGAAGCGCTTTGAGATGCTTTGATGTGATAAGTACAATGTTTTGATTGATTCCAATTCCTTTCGATGTGCCAGGAAATCTGGGCTGAGCGAATCATACAGAGAGAATGAATCACGACAACTCCTGTTTTTGCTTTGTTTTTCGATGAAGAATTGCAACCAAAAGATAACCCTCATCTCCCTCTTTCGATTCTTGTTGTTTGCCCCCAAATTGCTAAAATTAGAAACCTCCCTCCACTCAGCAAGCTCCGGCCTGCTCCATGTCCCCCACCCCACCATCGATGATCGGGCCTCCAGCCCATCTGCCCTCATCCTTTGGATCACTATCCCACAGTCCTTTTACCATGCCCCCTTCCTTGCCTCTTCGACTGCCCCTTCGATCACCCTCCTACCCCTACCCTCCCTGCCCTCCATCCCTTCTGATCCTAACCCACTGTTCAGATCCAAATCCCTCGCGCCTTGGGATGTCCTCCCGACGTGAAAGGTGCTGCGTAAATATCATCTGTCGTTGTTGAAAGTCTAGCTTCTTCTTTAATGCCTCTTCACTATCTGATTGAACCACCGCTTTGAGCAGCAAATGTATTATCAAATATATGTGCTGGGATTTCCAGCTCTCGTGTCAGCTGTTCCTCGCCTCTCTGTTTGTTAAATATTGCATTCTTGTAAATTGCTTAACAGATTTTCACCAAATTCTGTTTCTTTATCTTGAGAATGCGATGATAATGAGTTCTTTTGATCAACCTTGGGTATAATTGGTATGTGCCAGCTGTTCCTCTAGCACCAGCTGTTCACATCAACAGCAGATTCTGTCTGCATTACTTCCACTTAATTGGCCTTTTAATGTAAATTCAGTGCTTTGAAAGGTATTTGTCTGTGGTTATCCCATAGTATGTGCTGGAAGGAGCATTATTATTAATGGCTGTAAAGTGGATAAATAATACTTTACAGATGTTTTCGTGCTCCACCCAAAACCGTAGAACCAGAGGACACGGCCTGCGATTGAACGCGGGTAAATCATTGGAACAATTCTGTGGAAACACAACTTTAGCGAACGAGGAGTAAACCTTTGTTGTATACCTGAAATTGCTGACTGTCTGGGGGGAGGGTTTAAGGTTCAAGTAATTTGATTTGCGATAAGGTTTCAATGATTTCAACATCAGTCACTATAGCATTGCTGTGCTATTACTGAGCGCTGGCAATCTCTCCGTGTGCTATTTTGAGTAGATCTTGTAGCTGTAGCCAGTTGTCTTCTCGTTAATAATTGAATGACCAAATAATAACATGATTGCAAACAACTCCCAATGCGTACGTCAGTGAGTTTGAATAGGTCACAGAATGAGCTACAACCTGCCATGACGGACAAATTGAAATATATTCTCTCAGGCTGCTGGGGACGCTGGGGGAGAGCCCTGGGGGCAAGACCCACAATTTACTTTCACAAACTTATCCAGGGAAACACCAGCCAGCCTTCAGACCCTCAAAACTGCTGCAGCCCATCCTATCCCATCCCATCTCCTGCAACAGTTTCATGGAGTGCCGTAGCGTAGTCATTAGCGCTCTCACCTCGCAAGCGAGAGGACCAGGGTTCAATTCCTGGGCCTCGGCGAAACCTTAGACAAGTTTCTTTACTACACGCACAGCACACGCCTCTGTTTGCCTGGCAGTAAGGAGGAACCCGGTTGAGAGGCGGATCGCTTTCTGTGAGGGGATTGTAAGCCCTCGATTTAAAAAAAAAAAGTGGTCGTTCAATCCATGAGTATTTGTGAGACATCACTGTACTACCTTGTGAAGTGCTTGTAGATGTCTCAATGATTTGATAAGGTGCTATATCAAATGTAAGGATGATGATGTCTAAGCTCATGAATGGATACAATACCACGTAGATTTGTATGGAACGTACAGCATGGAAACAGGCCATTTGTGTTGCGAAGGGAACTTTGAAGGCAATGATTGTTGATGCGTTTAAAGACAAAATCTGGCACGAAAAGCTCAAACACCAACCAATGAGGTTCAGAATAATCTTGGCCCACCCCTGCCTTCTCAACCCAAAACTCCTGTTGCAGATTTTATTAAAACCGGCTTTGTCTAAAGAATGGAGTGGGCCAATAATGTTCGTTGCAACATCTTTGACGAATCAGCTAAGTTTTGTATTTTATTTGAACCCTGTGTTAGCAGCTCAGCAACGTTGACAATCCCATACAGTACTTGATGTGTTCAGTGGTGCAGCGAAACCTTATAAATAGCAGTTTATCATTCTAAACCTTCTTTGTTGGTGTTCAAGCTTTTTGTGCCAGAT